TGATTTCCCAGAGCCACAACAAAAGAACTGGGTCGGAAGTGGAGCAGCTGGGACTTGAACAGGTGCCCACAAAAGATGTATCATTCTTGTGTGCTTCTTTAAAGTTAGTTAAGATTCTCAAAAAAAAAAGTGAAATAAACTTTGGAAAAAAAATGATAGTGAAAAAAAAAAGAAAGAAAGAAAAGCGGGGCAGAGCATCAGAGGCCTGCGGTCAGGGCCCCGAGAGGCCAGGACGTCTGCACGGGCCGGAATCGTCCAGAACCGCTTGGCACTGGAGACACGGGCATGGCCCGATGCTAACCCCTTCCAGCAGTGAGTGGCCGGGCAGCGGGGGTGACAAGGGCCTGCAGAGGCACGGAGGGCAGCCTCTGTGGGCCCCGTGAGAGGGCGGGGGGCAGGAACCCAGCAGCCCTGTCCTCAGAGAGGCCGGGTTTTCAGAAGAGCGCCAGGTGCGGGGCAGAGGTTTGTGTTAAACAACTGACGAATGTCCCAAGTTCCCAGGGACAGCGTAGGAGTTCCCCCCTATGAACAAGGTGCGGTGTTCACAGTGGGACAGGGCTGCGAGGGGACTGCCGGCTGGGCAAACAGGAATCAATGAGGGCCACGACTCTGGACGCAGAAATTCCTCACCACCTCGGTGTTAAACCCTGCGGCTGCTTCCGGCGAGGACTGTTTAGCCGCTCCCACCCCTAGAGACTTCAGACGCCGACTCAGGGCGGGACCTTGGCTTAGCGGTCAGGCTGTGGGTCAAGATGCCCGTGTCCCACCCCGTGGGGGGCTCAGTCCCCACTTCCTGCGGATGTGCACCCTGGGAGGCAGCAGGAGATGCATGGAGTAGCCGGGGCCCTGCCCCTCACTTGGGAGACCTGGACGGAGCCCTTCCAGCTCCGCCCGGCCCCACGTGGGAGCAAGCCCGCGGGTGGGAGCTCGCTCTCACTTCTGTTTTCAAAATCACCCGCTGGCACGGAGTTTCGGGCGTCCACAGCTGGAAAGAGGCGTCAGGGGCGCGTGACGGTCAGCTCTCCACGGGCAACCTGACTCAGGAGGTCAGGCGCCAGCCAGCCAGGCTGCTTCCTCCTACCGGGCGGGGGGGGGGGGCAGCTGACGGCCTCCGCTGTCCTTCCAGAGGCCAGGGCAGGCTCGAATCAATGCTCTGTGTTTGTGGTCTGTGGTCTGGTTCGGGTTCTGTGTTTATGGTCTCGTTCAAAGCAAACTTTCAGGAAGTCCAGTGCACCAGTGTAAGGGAGAGAGGCACATGTCACCCACCCTCCTACTGCCCCCCAGGCTGCAAATTCTGCTCTTATGGCTGGAATGGGGGTCCGGCAAGCACGTGGCTCATTTCATCTGCAAATTCACAACATCTGTCATCTTCCTCTCTTCTTCCTGCCAGTGTCCCTTTAAGTAAATGTAGAGGAAATAGGCATAAAGTACGCTGACTGCAAAATGAGATGTAAAGTTTCTTTTTTTATTTGAGAGGTGGAGTTACAGACAGTGAGAGGAAGAGACAGAGAGAGAGGTCTTCCTTCTGTGGGTTCACTCCCCAAATGCTACAGCCGGAGCTGGGCCGATCCGAGGCCAGGAGCCGGGTCTCCCACGTGGGTGCAAAGACCCAAGCACTTGGGCCATCTTCTACTGCTTTCCCAGGCCACAGCAGAGAGCTGGATCGGAAGAGCAGCAGCAGGGACTCGAATCAGTGCCCACATGGGATGCCGGTGCTGCAGGCGGAGGATTAACCCACTGCGCCACGGCGCCGGCCATAAAGTTATTTTGTACATGGATGGAACTGGAGATCAGTAATAAGCCACGCGCAGAATGACAAGTGTCACAGCACTTCACTTCTACGAGTGGAAAACAAAGTGCTGTCAGCCCCTGTACCCGAGGCTGGGGAGAGACAGGGATGGGCAAGGGAGAGGTGACTGCCAGCTGCGGCGCTACAGCTGGAGAAGTGCCGTCGTGGGAGGAGAAGTGCCGTCGTGGGAGGCCCGGCGTCGCCTGTGTGCTTGGCACACCGGATCAGCTTGCTGCCCACTTCTAAGTGATGGTGAAGCTGAGTCCCGGCAGCGCAGCAGGGGGTGGCGAGGAGGGCGAGGTGGGGAGGCGGCATGGAGGGGTCGTGTGAGCAGGACAGGCCGCAGGCCAGGGGAAGCAGTGACAGCCAGAGGGGGCCGGCTCCTCCACACGCAATGGGCGGGGGCTGCTGGGCGAGGGAGGCAAGACCAAGAGCAAGCAGTGCTTAGCTTGCAGCCTCTGTGCCGCACACAGGTGTCACTAGGGAGGCTCGGGGACACACGCAGGGGAAGAAAAGGACGTGACTTCAGAGGCGACCCCCGGCTGCATTTCAGAGGACAGCCTGGGGCCTGGCTGGACAGTGAAGTCCACTTAGGAGGGGGGCGGGGCAGGGGAGACCGCGTCTCACCCCAGGGAGGTGGCGCGCGCAGCTGTGTAGACAGAGGCGTGTGGGCGGGGAGAGGAAGTGGAGACTCCCGAGGCATCTGGCACCCTCGCCATCGTGGTGGGGGGCTGAGCCTAAGCACCGCCACCATCGTATCTTCCCGACATTAACGAAGCGCGAGGGACATGCAGGAAGTCGGCTGTCCGGGGTCCCTGGGCGCTGGGCAGCTGCCTCTCCCAGTTGGCCTGCTTTCTGAAGGTCACTCTTGTCGCTCCCCCATTCGCGGAGGAACCACACTAAACCCTGCGCTGTTCTTTTGTCTGCTCAGCCCTTCCCGGGTTAGCTGCCGTTCCCTCATTCGTGGAGGAACGACGCCGTCCCCGGTTAGCTGCCGGCCCCTCCACCTCTGTGGAGGGGCGGCACCCCCCGCCACTTTCCCCGCTTCCACGGAGGAGCGGCACACCGCTGGCCGGCTCTCTCGGGGGCTGCTCAGGTGTTCCTTCAGATAGATGTTCCTGGTGCATGTTGTCTCTCTCCTCCTTTATAGTCCTCTTCCACCAATCCCAACTCTGCTACCCACAGGCCGAGTACGCTGCTCTCCTCCAATCAGGAGCGGGATCAGCTTCTGCAGGTTATCAAACTGATGAGGCAGCTGCATAGAGGTTGTTTGGTCTCTCTCTCCCAGCGCCATATTGTGGGAGAGCAGATGCATAGAATAAGTCTTAATTCCAGTAACTTAGTCTAGTCTCAGTTGCTACCCACACACTCTCACGTCCACCCTGGGAGAAGGGTGATGCTCCAGACTGACAAGCACGAAGCAGCGCCTCCTTACACAGTAAGAGACTCCAGAGAGAGGAGATGGCACCTGTGAAGGGCAGTGTGGGAGCCACCTGGCTCCGCCCGAGAGCAGCGGGAACCAGCAACGCTGGTCTAGTTACAAACGCCTAGGAAAGCTACAGAAACTTCCCGTCACTGATAACCCACAGGGTAAGCTCACAAGGAACAAACCAAATGAAAAAGCTGCCCAGAGAGGCTCGGGGCGGCCTCGCTGTTACTTCTGAGAGCGGGTAAGAGGCTGGGGCACGGAGGTGTGCTGGCCCCACGGCAACATTCCTTTCATGAACAAGCAAAAATATCTTCACCTAACATGACGAGGCAATAAATGTGGTGTGTGGTGAACACGTGAGCGTCTGGTATGTTCTACCCTGTACTAAAGTACACGCCTGAAATACTCCCTGGGGCTGCGCTGTGGCGTAGCGGGTAAAGCCACCACCTGCAGTGCCGGCTTCCCATATGGGTGCTGGTTTGAGTCCAAGTTGCTCCACTTCCGATCCAGCTCTCTGTTATGGCTGGGAAAGCAGTAGAAGATGGTCCAAGTCCTTGGGCCCCTGCACCTGCGTGGGAGACCTGGAAGAAGCTCCTGGCTCCAGATCAGCTCAGCTCTGGCCATTATGGCCATTTGGGGAGTGAACCAGCAGATGGAAGACCTCTCTCTCTCCTTTCTCTAACTCTTTCAAATAAAAAAAAAAAAAAAAAAACTTAAAAAATACTTCCTAGAATACGTACTTGAAATAACTCCTGAATCTTATTTCAGACACCAAAGCGCCTGCTCCGTCACTCCTGGCCCCAGCTCCCTGCTCACACACACCCTGGAAGGCAGCAGTGACGGCTCAAGCTGCTGGGTCCCTGGCCCCCCCACAGGAAACCGGAACGGAGCGCCTGGCTCCTGGCTCCAGTCTGATCCAGCCCCAGCTGCTGTGGGCATGGGTGAATAAACCAGGGGACGGAAGGTCTGACCCAGCCTTCCTTGACCCCCCCCGCAGTGAGGCAGGGTCGCCCGGTGCTCGGCAGAGCTGTCTCTGACTCTACAGGGACACCCAGTGCTGCCCCGGGGCCCAGCTCGGCCGAAGCACAGGGCAATCACCGAGCAGCTTCTCAAAGCCGGGGAGCCGCGGTGCTCCTGTTTGGATCCGGATGCTTTGCGTCATGGCCCAAGCTGAGCGTGGCCTTCAGGTCACTGAAACCCGACGTGGCATTCTCAGGGCTCCGAGGTTCTCGTGGGGGTGCCCTCAGGCAGTCCCGGCTCTGCCCCCCGCCCCCAGCCCCCAGCCCCACCCGGCTGCACAGGGGTGGCCACAGGCCTCCCGGGGCAGGACGGGACCACGCACTGAGCGTGACGCCCGCCGTGCCTGCACTGCCGCTGGCAGCCTCTCTCCGGTCTGTCTGAACCAGACCCTGGGTTTATCCCCACACGGAAGACTCCCTTCAGTGAAAACGCCGTGAGCTCTGGTAAGGCCCGGGGTTCAGTTCTGCACGGAAACACACACGTGTATGTTTAAACTATCGTTTAATCAGTTTTAAAGACACAGAAATTAGAAAAAAAACCCACTTACATGTAAGTTAAAAACACCTCTAAAACCCAGCACGAAGCCAGCGCGCAGCCCCGAGGAGCGACTGGAAAGGAGTGGGTACGACACGAGCGCCTCACAGCGTCCCTGCCCCGGGCCGCTCTGACTCGCCACGCAAGGACGGATCTGCGGACCTGTTGAAAAATAACACTTCTTGTAAAAAAATATTCTAGAATAATAAAACAAAAGCACGGAGCAGCACTCGGCCTCCCGACCCGAAGACCAGCTGTAGGACCCGCTCCCTCTGAAGGCTGCAGGCAGAGGTCAGGTGTGGCTCCCCAGGGCAGGACGGACCGCGCACCCACACCCGCACCGGCACTCCGCGCAGGAGCTCCATCCACCGCACCGCTTCCTCCCTTGCTGTGGCCGCGGCCGTACACCCGCCCCTTCCGGCTTGGAGCCGCAGTCACACAGGTGTCCGACGGGCAGGACGGGCTGGGGCGCTTCTCTGATCCCTTCTTCCTCATGATAAGAAGCCAAAAGGAAATGCACGTCCGTGGACAAGTCCGTGTTCACAGGTCCCGGGTTCCCGCACCTGGGACGGAGGCGCGACCTCCAAGTGAGCGCGGACTCCCTACGCGGGCGCTGGCTCTTTCACGGAAAAGGACAGAAAGGGATGCAGCAGACCAGCTCCTCACAGCTAACCCGGGGGGCAGCGGGCAGCCACTGGGGACGCCAGCCGACGGCAGCCGCCGCTTCTCCAGCCCCACGAGGCTACTAAGAGATCGGAACATCACTCTGCTTATGCGGCTCTGGAATTTTTTCTTTTTTTCATTGTATTTGCGTTTCTTTTTATAGTAGTGAAGTGTGATAAAGCGTGGCTGGGGAGATGGCTACGTATCGCTGAGTAAGCTCAGGCGGTGGCTCTGTGTGGATCCATCTTATCAGAACAGAGTCTGGGGAGAGCTTTATAAAAGTTGTACTTAAAGGAGTTAGAATCTGTCTTAAAGGCAAGACAAACTGGCGTAAAAATGTGTCTCCAGGTTCCGTTTCAGGAAGTTCTCTCGAGCAGGGACCTATCGGGCTTACCAACTCTTCACTGGGGTTTGCACCATGTTAAAAACCTACTAAAATAAATATTATGCTAAAACATATAAAGTCAGGATTGCGCAGCCTGCCAATTAAAATGCAACTGGCTGCACCCCCTGTGCAACAGCCCCCCGAAGAGCAGCCTGACCATGGAGCAGAGCACTTCTACAGAACGTCAGTGTGGAAAGTCCATCGTAAGTTTTCTTCTCTAATGAGAGCGACTACAAGTAGATTTGACTACACAGTGACAACGCTGTAGAAACCCCAGTCTCATCTTCAGAACTCAGATCCGGAGCGCCGTGAGCACAGGAACCGCACGGTGCAGGCTGCCGCGCACGGAACCCCGGCATCCACGGGCAGTGCAGAGCGACCCGCAGGCCTTGGAGGGCAGGGAGGCGGCGTCTCACAGTGGCCCGCAGCCGGGGGGCAGCAGCACCCCCACAGCGCTGGTTCCTGACTGCAGCTGGGGCCCAGCAGCGCCCCCCGCAGCGCTGGCTCCCACCTAAGGTCCGGACAAATCCTTGGCTGCCACAGCTCAACAGGCACCGTTCTGAAACATTATTCTCTCAATTTTTTTTCTTTCAATTATAAGGCAGAACTCTAAAAACAATTACCTTTTAATTACTGAGCAACTGGAAACAAGGAAACAAAAAAGTTTCAACGCCCAGCTCTGCCCTGAACACACAGGTGAATCATCGACCAGGCGTGCATTTCAAAGACGGAAGCTTTTTGTCCTGAAAGGATAATCTACACCTCAAATAAAAAAATTAATTTTTAAGTTATTTCAAGGGCAAATTTTTTAATTGTTGCCTAAAGTAGCTTAAAGCAAGGTAGAGATACACCAGGTGTTGTCTTAGTATCTCTGAAGGAACGATCTGTGCGGAGCTATGCGGCGGTGAACCCTCTCCAGCAGCGATTCATAAACATATTCACGGGCACGGAACTCCTCCACCCTCCACAGCAGAGCGAACACGCAGAAAGCCAAAGGAGCCCCGGGGCAGCAGAGAGGATCGCGCGGGCAGAGCTTCAGGAGGAGCCGGCGCGGCCATGCCTCGGGGCCCGGACTGCGGCCTCACAGCCAGTGGAAGTCAGGGCTGGAAGCTCGGGTACGCGCGGCCGCGGGTTCGCAGCTGCTCTGCGGGCCTGCTCCCCGCCCGGCCGGGCGCGCCGCTGTCAGCCAGGGCCCAGAGCGAGCCCTCGCAGGCGGCGCCGGGCAGAAACCACGGCCGACAGCGGGCCGTCCTCTGCTGCCTTTAGAAGCTGAGTGGATTTCCTCAGGCGCCCTGCCTTCCACGAGCAATGAATGCTCTTAAAACCAGACCGAGCCCCTTCCAGACGGCGACAGCCGGCATCACGCCATGCTTGCCGAGGGGCAAGGGTACTTCCGCTGATCTGTCCCCCGAGAGCTGCCGAGCGAGCGCCTGTGACTTCACGACCCCTCACGGGGGACACCAGCACCAACACGCGTCCCAGGTGCACATCCCGCCGCAAGCCGAGCCAGCGAGCCTGCCCACCCCATGCAGAACACGCAGCTCGGGCACAGGAACCTCCCGAGGAGAAAAGCCAAGCTGACGGCCACGCTCCTCCCTCGGCCCCCCGTCCAGACTGTCACCTGTGGTCACCGCTTCTAGAAGCTAGCAGAGAGCTGGCCAACAGCCTTTTCACAAGAATAAAACCAGTGTTTCAGGAAGACGAAAATCATACTGGATGTGTCACTAATTGTTTTCAAAGTAAATGGAAAACGGATAACAAATCTCGCTTTCTGCTCACTGAACAAGAAACAGGTGGCTGATCTCGGTTTAGCGGCTGACACAGACATATTCAGGAAACGGAAAGAAACGGTGGCCAGACGGGCTCAGCCATCAAATGCCACGAATTCTTACTAACCGTCCTGGTTTTCACTGAGGACGCGCCTGGGCCGGTCCCTGTCCTTTCCAACAGGGACAGGGTTCTTGGCAGCACTGGCTACAGCGGGGAGACGTCCTGGGGTGCACCCCCGCCCAGGGACAACCTTGTCCATGCTCTCTACGCAGCCATGTTAACTTCAGCAGGACAACAGCATGTATTTAGCTGTTCCTCCTTTCCCGGGAGGCAGAGACGGTTAATCAAACGCATCACGCAGGGAACTCTGCCGTCAGAAGAATCAGGCCATCTTGATTTCGGAAGTTCTGCAGCGAAACGCTGACATGTTTGCTGATTACGACCTCAAAGGTTCTGAATGCATTCGCTGCCTTCTTTAAGTGAGATACCACACAGCCTATGCCAGCCTGCTTTTTCTGTCCTCAACTTCACTTGCAAAATTTATTAGTGACAAAAAGCAAATAAACTCATCATGGACAATTTGCATCTCACTAAAAAAATTTAAGGCAAAAAGAAAATAAATTGCACAAAAGATTGGTCAGATAACAGTGAAAGTTAGAGGCCCCGCCCCTCCTGTTCCTTAGTGGGTGACTGACCACCGACTGGCTTCCAGGCTCGCACCTGCTACAGCCACACAACCCCGGGGGCTGAAGGAGACACCTGCCAATGCAAGGCTGCCTCAACTGCGGGCAAAACGGCCCATCAGACGAAAGCACATTTTTCTACTTACAGAATCTACAACTAATTTTAACAAGAGTTAACAGCAACATTTTAATGTGAGAAGAGTTCAAAAACAAATTTATAATATTTTCAAAAAAGAAAAAAAAGTTCGATTCAATGACTAAGTTTGTATTTCCCTAAAACCTTCCCAAATACAAATTAGTGTCAGGTAAGAAACTGATCAGACAACAAAGGTACCTGGAGATTTCTCTTTCAAAACCCCGAACAATCTACCACTATCACTCTCTTAATCTCTAATTATATATGATTTATGCTCGAAGTCCATTACCAAGCATTACGAAGCTGTGAAGCTAACAGTCCCAGTAACGCCCCGGAACAGCACCACGGCGGGCGGCCTGTGCCGAAGCTCTGGACCACCTCACTCCTGCCTGCCTTAGTCACCTTCTAGGTTTCCAGGAAAAGCAGCTTAAAATACCACATGACCACCCTAAGTAACTTCAACAATTCCTGCTGGGAGGGTGCTCCGACTGGCACGGCTGATGAGCGGCCCAGCAGAGCAGGCCCCATGCCTGCGCCTGGCCGCGGGCTCTCTCGCTGGGGCTGCCTTGAGAAAAGCCCTCCTCAAATACTGAGATGTTATTGCATGTTTTCAAGTATCAGTGATCTCAAATATCCTGTTCAAATTCCTTTACAGCGCACAACACCAAATATTGAAATAGTGTTCTCACAATTTTACACATGAAAATACCATGTAGGAACAAGAGTTCAGGAAAGACAGGGTTTAAGGCAAGACGTTCGTTTGGAAAAGTTAATTTCTCCCAGTCACCCAGACCGACCCGATTAGCCGTCCACCTCTTCAGCGCCTGGGGTACACAACGCACAGTCAGCGGTGGGGCCCACGTGGGGCGCTGTGCGAGGCAGAGCCCCCGTGAGACAGGGAAGGACCAGGGAGGCGTGGCCGCAGGGACGGCGTGGGAGGGGCTGCTGCACTGCGCTCCCATCTGCTCACCCGGAAATCCCCTCTCTACCACTGTCCCATCCCCCAGCCCCTTTCTCCTGGGACAGGTGCTACGCCAGGCGTCTGTCCCCAACGCGCGGCCAGCGGAGGCTCCCGGTCACTGCTTCAGCAACGAGTGTCTGGAGGTCGTTCCTCGAGTCTGGCTGCAAATATTGTTTGTGGTGGAGAAACTGTTCTGGCCCAAAGAATTTTCACTTCCGTCAGACTTTTTGGATCGAGAGAGCGGAACGTTCTCATGTGTACTCTTTCCTCTCTGAGTTTTCTTCACTGGCAGCAACAACAGTACTAAGATACACGCAATGTGCAGGCCGTAATACCAGGAGCTGAAAGGGAAAAAGAGAAATTCACTTTACTCAGCTGTGCGTGTGTGTAACTTGGTAACTGCACAGGTGTCAAAACGTCACATGCCCCGCCCCTGGGTGTGTTTTCCACGACCTCACTCTGCTGCGCCCGCCGGCAGCTGCTGCGGCTCTGTGGCCTACACCAGGGTAACTGGAAACAGCGCATACGCCAGTGGCCTAGGACGCCTGGGGTCGGCTGGAATCCCCGGCAAGGGCCTCGGGCCACGACTGCACAGAGCAGAGCAGGGAAGGACTTATGCACAGCACAGGGGCAGCAATCCTTCCAACGCAGTCAAACGCGCAGTACACAGAGGGAGTGCGGGGAGGCTGGCCTCCGCTCCAGGCACTGTCTGTGGGCCACACACACTCGGGGGCAGGCACGCAGCAGCACTATGCTCCTGGGCGGCTGCTTTCATCAAAGAAAGCTCGCGTTTGGGAACAGACGCCGCGAGTGGAGCACGGAGCAACGAAGCGAATGTACCCTACACGCTTCCACGCTGCAAGCCCAGTGCGGTAAGACTAGTGTCGGGGCAGGAAAGCTAACCACGGCCCACGCACGCTGCAAAACATGCCCCGCTCCTGCTAGATGCAAACTTCAGCGAGTCGGGGCTTCCTATCTGGTTGCTGTTACAGTTGACCCAACCATTTTTTGGCCACATACTCTGTGCTAAGCCACTCTAAAGGCTACAGGGGTGAAGAGCCCACGCAAGAAGGCCAACCTAACGTGGGAGGGCTGAGTCTGGTGGGGCAGGGAGAGGGAATAAGAGAAGAAAGGACATGGGATTTAGGACAACGTCCATCAAGAGGCTTGATCACAGAACCCTGAAACATAAAACACAGAGTGAAAGGAAAACAAGGGAAACAGAAGCTGTTCACTGGCAGGAGTCATTCACTCTCTAAAGAAACTCAAGACCGCTCGGTTTAGGATCACAAAGCCACCGACAGCGAGGGTACTACTTTCCTATCCTGTTCGGTGCAGGGAACTTCCTTTAAAAACGAAGTCAGCCCCGTGGAGTCCTCGCAGGCAGACTCACCTGTAGAACGAGAAGGAAGGCTTTATGGACAGAAGCACGAACGGCACCACCGTGTAGCTGATCGCTACCTGAGTCACCATCCAGGTTACAGCGTCGTAAAATAACTTAAGCTGGGGAGGTTCGAGGAAGTGATGGCGAAGGTTGTTCCTCATCTGAAACCAAGAAACACAGACCGTCTGCCGCGTCTTCACCAGCATCGCTAAAGGGATCCCACTGGCCGGCCAGCGCTGGAAGGGCACTCCCTCCGCGAGTGGGCCTCTCTAACGGCACTGCTCTACAGGGAACTCACGCAGGGCCCACAAGAAAGGGAGGGTGCAGACGGGCAGCAGCAAGGCACACACAGCTGGCCCATCTCGGGAGGAGGCTGCGGGGGCTCTGGGCACCTCCTCCCGAGATCTCCAGTCGCACTGAAAGGAACATTTCCCTCCAGAGCTAAAAGTAACAGTGCCCAGAGCGCCTACGCTACACTCGGAGAACTACAGCCTACGAAGTCCACTCCACTGTCCGTGTCTTTACCACTGTGAAATGGACAGCGTCTGCGTCTGTGAGAGACAGACAACCACCACACCTTGGGCGTGGTCAAACAGTCTTAATTAAACACACAGCAACAATACATGTTGGAATGGCTTCTCACAAAACCCAAAAAGAAGTTTTCTAACATGTACTTTTTAATAACTTCTGTGGCTTTCAAAAGTCAAGATATTTCAGTTTGGAACTACGCGACCTTCACATGATCTTCTTCCCTATGACATCCCTTGCTGCTTGTCTATGTAAAAGTGAAACATGGCCCTATGACGAGGACACCACGCCTGACTCCAGAGGAGAGCGGTGCGTGGTCGGTGGCTCCTCCAGACACACACCATCAGTCCTAGTGGCCAGTCACCTCCCGGCACCTGCAGCTTCTTGCCTAGCTCACTGCCACAGCAGCCAGCCCTCTCTAGCCCACTGTGCCCACCAGTGCCAGCGCCACTTTCCTCAACTATAGTCTTCAGCATTCCCTTCCCATGCCTGAAACACAAGACTCCACCCCTGCCTAGACAGGCCAGGGGCAGGCTCCTCCCCTATGCACACAGGACAGGGATGGCTCCTCCCCTACTGCACACAGGACAAGGATGGCTCCTCCCCTATGCACACAGGACAGGGCAGGCTCCTCCCCTATGCACACAGGACAGGGCAGGCTCCTCCCCTATGCACACAGGACAGGGCAGGCTCCTCCCCTATGCACACAGGACAGGGCAGGCTCCTCCCCTGTGCACACAAGACAGGGCAGGCTCCTCCCCTGTGCACACAAGACAGGGCAGGCTCCCCCCCTACTGCACACAGGACAGGGATGGCTCCTCCCCTACTGCACACAGGACAGGGCAGGCTCCTCCCCTACTGCACACAGGACAGGGCAGGCTCCTCCCCTATGCACACAGGACAGGGCAGGCTCCTCCCCTACTGCACACAGGACAGGGCAGGCTCCTCCCCTACTGCACACAGGACAGGGCAGGCTCCTCCCCTATGCACACAGGACAGGGCAGGCTCCTCCCCTACTGCACACAGAACAGGGCAGGCTCCTCCCCTGTGCACACAGGACAGGGCAGGCTCCTCCCCTACTGCACACAGGACAGGAGCAGGCTCCTCACCTATGCACACAGGACAGGGACAGGCTCCTCCCCTGTGCACACAGGACAGGGCAGGCTCCTCCCCTACTGCACACAGGACAGGGTAGGCTCCTCCCCTGTGCACACAGGACAGGGCAGGCTCCTCCCCTATGCACACAGGACAGGGCAGGCTCCTCCCCTACTGCACACAGGACAGGGCAGGCTCCTCCCCTACTGCACACAGGACAGGGCAGGCTCCTCACCTATGCACACAGGACAGGGCAGGCTCCTCCCCTGTGCACACAGGACAGGGCAGGCTCCTCCCCTACTGCACACAGGACAGGGCAGGCTCCTCCCCTGTGCACACAGGACAGGGATGGCTCCTCCCCTATGCACACAGGACAGGGCAGGCTTCTCCCCTATGCACACAGGACAGGGCAGGCTCCTCCCCTATGCACACAGGACAGGGCAGGCTCCTCCCCTATGCACACAGGACAGGGCAGGCTCCCCCCCTATGCACACAGGACAGGGCAGGCTCCTCCCCTGTGCACACAGGACAGGGCAGGCTCCTCCCCTGTGCACACAGGACAGGGATGGCTCCTCCCCTATGCACACAGGACAGGGCAGGCTCCTCCCCTATGCACACAGGACAGGGCAGGCTCCTCCCCTATGCACACAGGACAGGGGCAGGCTCCTCCCCTATGCACACAGGACAGGGATGGCTCCTCCCCTACTGCACACAGGACAGGGCAGGCTCCTCCCCTGTGCACACAGGACAGGGCAGGCTCCCCCCCTACTGCACACAGGACAGGGATGGCTCCCCCCCTATGCACACAGGACAGGGCAGGCTCCTCCCCTATGCACACAGGACAGGGCAGGCTCCTTCCCAGTTTGGTGTTCAAGTTCTTTTCGTATCGGCCCCCTCCCCTCCTCATTTGCGGACCTTGAATCACCACCGTCTCTGCCCACGTCCTCTGTCTCAGTTAGGCTTCCTTGGTGGCCCAAGCACACCACGCACTGTCAAACTTGGTTCTGCTAATGCTATTCCTATGCCTAGAGTGTCATTTTCTCCTACACTGTGCCTCACGATTGAAATCAATTTCATCTTCCAAAGCCCAGGCCCAAACACTTTCTTAATGAGGCCATCTCTAGTCAATCCAACCAAAAGAGATTTCTCCCATCTCTAAAAGCCTGTGTACTGCCTATCTACTCCATGGACCATTACACGTCTTGTAATATACACATACACATCACCCCTTATGCCTCTGACTCGAGGCCTAATTAGGCTAACAACTACTAAAAAGTATAGCCCTTAGTTAATACTTCTTGAAGCTTCCCCCATACGTCCCCAGTGCACCTCAGAGTTGCATCATCTTTAGAGGTACTTTACTGAGCGAAGCTGAACACACTTCACTTGAGCACTGCCCACAGCCCGCGCGGCCCATTGTCCTGCCGGACCATGGTCTCTGCTTCCTATCTGCTGAGCTCTTCATTTAGTAGAGTCATTAAGCTTTTGACTATAATGTAAATTAAAATTGTTATCTCATAAAATATTAAGCTGAAAAAGGTTACAGAAGAACTGAACGGAGTAAAAATCGGCTCGAGTATGACATGAAGCCAGCGAGCTGTTCAACCATAGCGCAGCGCCGCTGGCCGTGCCCGCCGTGCGGGACTTCCACCAACGACCCCTCTTGTCCTCATCGCTTTCCCCAGACCCCACTGAAGGCCAGCCCCGCTGCGCTGCCCCCCGCCCCCCCGGGTCTGTCCAGGTCCCAGCTTTTATCTGCAAAGGACTCGGTGTTCCAACTTCAGGACACATTTCAGAAGTGAACTACCCCCCCGACCAGCTTCCCCTAACTCAGTGCCGACCTCTAGAAGGTAATAACGCTCTGAGCGCTGCCCAGGAGCCAGGCACGCAGCAGCGTGTCTTCTGCGGTGAGGCACGCGGTGCGGAGCCTGGCACGCGGGAGCCCGCGGCAGGCAGGCAGGCACAGTGCATGCTGGCTGCCGCGAGGCGGCTGCCGGCCACGGCCAAGAAGTGAGGTCTGCCTTAGAACAGTTACTCGGGCTTTCACAACAGTGCATGTCGACCACGGAATTAAAAACAAAATGCGTGATACTTACAGCTCGTGCTGCTAATGTCATTAAGACCCCTGTTAGAAACGTTAGGTAATATCCTGGGTAGACCCCATGCCAAATGGCAGAGAGAAAGAACGTCTGGATAGTCGGACTGAAGGAGGCTCGTTCATAACACACCCTAGAAACCACGAAAAACACGGAGAGCCAAGAGGAGTGAGTGAGCCGAGGTTAGGAAGCCGCACGACTGTTTCATTACCTCGCGCAGTCATGGTAACCAGAAAACACGACGTCACTTCTATCCTGGGGATAACCTAACCGGTGATCCACTAACGCCAACTGCAGGAATGTAAGTTCAACTCTCTCCTTCTTGTGGGTACAGATAATAACTACAGGGGTCATTTCTAGTGTTGGAAATCTATATAATTTATAAAAGAAAAGACACATTTTAATTCTACCCTATTACTTTCTTTAAAAACACTACAGACTTTGCAGTGACCTGACGACAACACTATTCTCCTGGCAAACAAGCTCTGCTGTGCTTCCTCTAACTAAGGTTTTCCTAAGGCATCAAGTTTACAATACAAGCAGCACCACAATGTAACAGCTCAGCCCCAGAATCCGGGCTGCTGGGAGGCCACAGGCTCCGTGAGGTGATAACAATGTCTTTTGGATATGGCAACAGACAGACATTCAACTTCTCAGTTTTCATAAAAAGGACAAAAGGACATGACAAAGGCAGGCTGTTCACAGCCCTGCCAGGGCAGCCTGCAGTGAGATACCCCAGACAGGACACGGGCCCGTGAGGATGAGGGTGAGCCTACAGAGTCTCTGTGGGGTTCCCGGACACGGGCCTGTGAGGACGAGGGTGAGCCCTGCAGTCTCTGTGGGGTTCCCGGACACAGGCCCGTGAGGACGAGTGTGAGCCTGCAGAGTCTCTATGGGGTTGCCGGACACAGGCCCATGAGGACGAGGGTGAGCCCTGCAGTCTCTATGGGGTTCCCAGACACGGGCCCGTGAGGACGAGAGTGAGCCCTGCAGTCTCTGCGGGGTTCCCGGGAGCGACTCCGCCTGCGCGGCCTGTGCCTGCCCTGTCTGCCTGACGGCAGGAGCCTCAGCTGGAGCAGACTGCTGCGGAGAGGCCTTTGCTCGCTTCTCTTCCCGTGCTCACAGTTCCTGCTCTCCTCTCTCTCCTCTCCTCTCTCTCTCTCTCTCTCTCTCTCTCTCTCCCTCTCTGTGAGTACAGGGCCCGGGTCTTCCTGTCTAACTCATCTTTTGCTCTGAGCCTAAGAGGGCAGGTCTGTTGAACTCAACTATTCAGACCTTGGACTGCTCGGGAAACCCAGGGCCTACGTGCAGTGGTGGTGCAGGCATGGTCTTCTAACCAAATCTCAACCGCCGAGAGCAAGCACTGCCGAGGAGGACCGGGCGCCCTGAGACACCGCGGGGGCCTTCGGGGCGGGCTAGGACGGTGGGAGCAGCGTTTGCGACTCAGCCCACAGTCTGACAAGCGCCTCGCCTGGAGGACACTGACAATGCTTCCTGGGCAACACCAGGCCACGGCGTCACTCAGCGCAGTTAACTCCATCAAGAGCCTGAACTCACTGCAGCTCAACCTCACGTCTAGATGAAAAGCACAGCTAGAAATGTCTTACAGGAACATACCTTTTGAGCCAAAGAGCTGTCTGAATATTCCAGTTATCCAGAAACATCTTGAAACTTGTTGACATCTGAAAAACAAAGGAATCAATGTTCTTCGGACAACAATGAAGCCCTAAATTAAATAATGGCTTTTTTTGTGCTAAAATTACTTCACAAGGATGCCAGCACACTGGTTTTCTTTGGATACTATTTTTCTAGCACAGTAACATCATTCCAAAGGGGGAGCTTACTGTTGGGAACGTCGGTAAGGTGTACGGTGTACGGATGGTCACCACTTCCTCCTGTGTGCCAACACTTACAGAGCTGGTCATGGAGACAGGAGACAAACGCCCGGAAATGACCTGTGCTCTCACCCAGGAGCCACGCGCCCGCCTCACTAACTTCCTCTCTTGACAAGTTCCGCCACCATTCTGGCTGAAGGGGTGGCCACAGCAAAGACCAGGCCAGCGGCTGCCCCTCAGTCCCCTGGCCACTGGGATCCTGGCACCCAAGGGCTCTGTGGGACTCCCCACACGCTTCCCACCCTTCTGGGCCCTCATGCCAGCTCCTCTCTGATCCCCTGCCCCGGGTACTTTCTTCCTGAGGGGCTATCCCCTCCTCCGGCCCGCACTGCCTTCAACGACTTTAGATCCCGTGGCCCAAACCACCATCTCTTATCAAAACCCTTGATGTCTTTTTTTTTTTTTTTTTTTTTTGACAGGCAGAGTGGACAGTGAGAGAGAGAGAGAGAGACACAGAGAGAAAGGTCTTCCTTTTGCCATTGGTTCGCCCTCCAATGGCCGCCGCGGCTGGCGCGCTGCGGCCAACGCACCGCGCTGATCTGATGGCAGGAGCCAGGTGCGTCTCCTGGTCTCCCATGGGGTGCAGGGCCCAAGCACTTGGGCCATCCTCCACTGCACTCCCGGGCCACAGCAGAGAGCTGGCCTGGAAGAGGGGCAACCAGGACAGAATCTGGCGCCCCGACCGAGACTAGAATCCGGTGTGCCGGCACCGCAAGGCGGAGGATTAGCCTAGTGAGCCGCGGCGCCGGCCAACCCTTGATGTCTTCATGTCCTTTTCAGTTCACCCAGTCATCCTGCCAGCCTCCCCCACGGTTGACATCTGCATGCTGTGCGCAGATACCACACCCGCTCTCCACCTGTCCTAAGTTCATGGCCCTCGACATGCCTAACGGTCTGTTTCCCTTGACAGTTCCTTCTGCTCCTGCAAACAGCTGTTGGACTGAATGACCTGAAACTGTCATTTTGGTTAAGTCAGAAAGAGGTAGACTTTATACGGTTCACCTGAATACTCCAGAAGCTCTCCCAGTCACCCATTCGTCCATGCACAATCCATGCGCACACGCTTATCTGTGGCCCTGAGACCACCACCTCCTCCCTCCCTCCCAGTCACGACACCCCAAGTGCTCACCACCTGAACCCCAACCTCCTGCCTGTCTATTAACTGGAGAAGGTCTTGCTGCTCCAGGGCCAGCTCTGCCTGTCCTCCGTGCCACACATTCTGCCACCTTCTCTCCAGGTCCTACTGGACTTCCACACGTTCCCTCTACAAATGCTCTTTCCTGTCACTGAATGTGTTCCAGTCTCCAGCTCTCCTCCCTCCCCTTCCGCTCGGCGACTGCCCTGCCCCCCCGCCCCTGGGCTCTCAGGCCCTCCCTGCCCCGATGTCACTGACCGGCCAGTTCCCGTCCCTGTCCGCTGCCTCAATGACCCCTGCCTCTCCTTTAGGAAAACTGCCTTCTTTACCTTTTTTCTTTTTAACACCACGACTCTCCACAGGCTGACACTGCCTCTGAATGAAGGTGAAAGCTGGTTCTTAGGCAAAACCCTGCCTTTTTATGCAGAAAGCGCACTGAGACACAGCACCCATCTGTGGCGCTATGTTCTCAGGGAGAGTGGAGTGGGAGGGGACGGCAGGCCCAGAGAGCGCCTTATGGGGCTAGAAACACAGCCGTATCCACCCCGACTTCCACATCTGTGTATTCCCCCTCCCCTCCCAGTTTTATGGCTGAAGTTATCATTACGAGCAGGTGTGATATTCTGCACTCACAAGGGCTGGCGTGGTGGCGTAGCAGGTAAAGCCACCGCCTGCAGTGCCAGCATCTCATATGGGCGCCAGTGAAGTCCGGGCTGCTCCACTTCCAATCCTGCTCTCTGCTATGGCCTGGGGAAGCAGTAGAAGATGGCCCAAACATTGGGCCCTGCACCCGCATGGGAGACCTGGAGGAAGCACCTGGCTCCTGGCTTTGGATCGGCACAGCACCGGCCACAGCGGCCATTTGGGGGGTGAACCAACTGAAGGAAGACCTTTCTCCCTGTCTCTCTATAACTCTGCCTGTCAAAAAAAAATTTTTCATAGTAAATACCTGACATCTTATTTTACCAATAAATACTTCAGAATTTATATTCAGAAAATAGGAACTTCCTAAGAATGACAGTAAGATCTAAGTATATTGGTAATTCCTTAATACCCTTGGTAAGGACATGACTTTGCTTTGTACGCAGGTACCCCTGGCTGTGTTTACAAAGACGCCTTCCCCCAGGGCTCTGTTCAGTCAGCATCCCCAAATGTGCCTGCTACAAACCCCTGGGCACACATCCTGCCGGTCACCTGGCCAGCCGTGGCTCCCTCCACATCCAGCAGGCTCGAGGGGTGGCACAGGACGGCTGGCTGACTGCTACTGGGGGCTCCTTCCCCTGCATGGCCTCCCCAGCCTCTTGCTGCCGCTCGGCTCGTTCCCCCTCCCGCAGGCCGCACGCACTGCGCTGGCCGTCCCCCGCCCCTCCCGCCCGCCTCTCACGCTGGCGCCCCTCCAAGGACGCCCTGCTTCTCTCACTCTCGTGGCTGCTCTCTTGTTCTTTCTCAGGCCTTGAACTGCTACACGCTGAGACCCCAAGTTCCATCCTGAGCTCTGGTGTCTCCGCTGAGCACTTGACCTATCTTGCCTGCTGGTCAATTCAGTACGTCCAAAAATTAACGCCAGTGCCGTTCCCTTCAAGCCTGTGCTAATTCCCCGTTTCCTATCTCAGTGAAAGGTATCACCAGATCAGCATCGTAGTGCAGTGGGTAAAGCCGCCACCTGGGACGCAGGCATCACACATGGGGTCAGTTCATGTCCGAGCCGCTCCACTTCAATCCAGCTTCCTGCTAATGGCCCGGAAAAAGCAGTGGAAGATAGTCCAAGCTCTTGGGCCCCTGCCACCCACATGGGAGATCCAGATGAAGCTCCTGGCTCCTGGCTTTGGCTTGGCCTAACCCTGACCATTGTGGCCATCTGGGGAGGGAACCAGTGTATGAAGACCTCTGTCTCTCTTTCTCTCCCTAAAGAAAAAGAATGCGATCACCAGAAGCCTGCTGCTTACAGCAACATCTGGGGCAAGCACTGTCACACAGTGGCTGAAGCTGCCACGTGGGAGACTCACTTCCCGTATCAGTGCTGGGGTGAGTCCTGCCCCACTTCCAGTCCAGCTTCCTGCTGATGTGTATCCTGGGTGGCAGCAAGTGATGGCCGAGTGCCTGGGTTCCTGCACAGGAGACCTAGACTCAGCTCTCGTTCCTGGCTCTGGCCAGGCCCGGCTCTGGCTGTTGCAGGCATTTGGGAAATTAAACAGAAGATGACGATTGATCTCTCTCTCTCCCCCCTTCTACCTTTCAAATAAAAATCAATCAATCAATCAGTACAAGTTTAAAAAAACCACAGAGCTGTGCAGGAGCCCGGGTGCCTGTTCATTCTGCCTCTGAGTGGATAAATAAATGAATGACGGACACCGGGCGTGCCGAATGGCCTAGTCTCCGTGCGGATTCTAGTCTGTCCCCAGGTCTGCTGAGGCTCTCGGCTCTCTGCGGCACTGGTGTCTCGGTGGGGAGCCCAGGTCTCTGCTCTGTTACTCACAGCGGCTCTTGGAAAGCAAATTTACGTGAGGACATGCACACCCACAGCGCTCCATCACACTCCTCCTGCTCGCGAAGGCCGTGCCTGGCCTGCCGCTCCTTCTCCAGCCTCAGCTCCCAGCCCTCTCCACACCAGGGACCACACACGCCACAGGCCGCCTCACTTTGCACGCGGCGCCGCTGGAATGCCTGGCCCCCTCCTCGCGCCATTTGGGACTCAAGACGTTAACTCTCCTCAGGCTCCCTCCCCCAGACACCTCATCCCGGGGGTCCCTATCTTGTGACGCCCACGTGCCCTAAACTTCTCTGATGGAACCTGTTTCTCAGTTCTCTATCCCCCCGACTGGACGAAAGCTCCATGAGGTGCAGACGGTGCTGGGCCCCCTGGCTGATGACCAGTAACTACCGGCTGCAGGAGAGAATGAATGAGTCTGTTTATTAAAGCTCTTCAATGCCACTCCTGGGGAACACACCGCCACCCGGAGAGGCACACTACGGTGCTCTAAATGTCACAAGGTGAGAGACACCTGCACTTACTAACCTCTATCTGCTGAATTCTCAAGTTGGAGATCAAGTCCCAGCGCGCGGCTCCGTTTCTGTCATATCCTCTGAAACCAAAGCCGGCAGCGTTATTAATAGCATCCGCTGTAAACAAAACGAACAGAAAGCACTGAGCATCTCTGTACCAATCCACAGTACTCCCCAAAAGGGGTGTTACCACCTGCTGGTCAGAAACACCAACCCCACCAAGGAGACCCAGATGGGGAGCAGGACGTGAGGGCAGGTGCAGGGAGAAGCCACTGAGGCCCTGGGGCTGCAGGTGAAGACACACGCCAGAAGCACCTGGCGGGCCAGGCGTGCACCGGCAGCACACGGCAGAGTGCGCCGAGCTGGCTGGAGAGGAGGCGTGCGGGAGCTCTGCCCCGGCTCCTGTGTTCTCCTCAGTCTCGTACTTGTCCTTTACTGGGAGAGGAATCTAGAGGTGAGGCAGTCCTTCCACCCTCACTCTTCTGCCTTGGTTCACCTGAATCCGCTCTGTCCAGAACGTGCTCCTGACCTTTACCACAGTGCCTGACGAGCCACCTTGGCTGAACAGCTGCTCAATGAGCTGCAAGGGAGGTTTCTGTCTCAACAACTGGATTCCTTAAACATTCTTGGACCTTCAGAGACCGCGACTGGACAATGCAGTAGACAGCCTAGGAAGAGGCAGGGTGGGCATCTGGCGCAGTGAGCTGAGCCGTGGCCTGGACCCCTCCACCCCACACCGCAGTGCCTGGCGCTCAGCCCCTGCTCCACGCCCCATCCCAGCTTCCTGCTAACGTGTATCCAGGGAGGGCGCAGGTGATGGATCAAGTACATGGGACCCACCACCGATCCTGGAGGCCCAGGAGTAAGTGCAGGCTGCCTGGCTTTAGCCTGGTCCAACTCCAGCTGCTGTGGGCATTTGGGGGAAGGGGAGGTGAACCGGCAGATTGGAGCTCTGTCGCTTTAAATAACATTTTTCAACAAGCCGACCCTGGGGAGTGTGTGGAGCTGCTGAAGTCTTTCCCTCACTTCTTTGCTGCTGTAAAATCTGACACAGAGCTCAGGCCTTAACTGCTAGGAGGCCCTCGCCCACTGCGTGCGCTGGGTCAGCACACTCGCTATGCACATACCACACTGACTGACTCACAACGCCACGGCCAAGAATTCTTTAAATGCATTCGGTTGCAAACCGCTCCCTTGATAACCTAATACATTTACACTTCCTTAGGGAGGAATCAGGGAAAAGGAATTAGCTCACTTCTTCCCGGCTTTTCCAATCAAATACTGAGGGTGGGGATCAGAGTTCCCTCAGAATAATTTTTAGCTTCCTAAATACCAAGTAATTAATGCGGAATGTCTATATACTTACAAATACCTTGTGCTTGTTCTGAAAAGCTTTATGAAGTCAATGACCTCGTTCTGTAATAGATTTTTAATTTATTTGACAGGCAGAGTTATAGACAGTGAGAGAGACAGAGAAAAAGGTCTTCCTTCAGTTGGTTCACTCCCCACATGGTCGCTACGGCTGGCGCTGCACCGATCCGAAGCCAGGAGCCAGGTGCTTCCTCCTGGTCTCTCAAGAGGGTGCAGGGGCCCAAGCACCTGGGCCATCCTCCACTGCCCTCCTGGGCCACAGCAGAGAGCTGGACTGGAAGAGGAGCAACCGGGACTAGAACCCAGTGCCCATATGGGATGCCGGCGCCGCAGGTGGAGGATTAACCAAGTGTACCATGGCGCCGGCCCCCTCTAATAGATTTTCTTTTCTTTTCTTTTTTTTTTGACAGGCAGAGTGGACAGTGAGGGAGGGAGGGAGAGAGAGAGAGAGACAGAGAGAAAGATCTTCCTTTGCTGTTGGTTCACCCTCTAATGGCCGCTGCGGCCGGCGCACTGCGCTGATCCGAAGCCAGGAGCCAGATGCTTCTCCTGGTCTCCCATGCGGGTGCAGGGCCCAAGGACCTGGGTCATCCTCCACTGCACTCCCGGGCCACAGCAGAGAGCTGGCCTGGAAGAGGGGCAACTGGGACAGAATCTGGCATCCCGACCGGGATTAGACCCCGGTGTGCCGGCGCCGCAAGGCAGAGGATTAGCCTAGTGAGCTGCGGCGCCGGCCCCCTCTAATAGATCTTCAACAATGACAAGTAGAATCCAATCCCAGAGTGTAGACAGCTCTTACAATCTATACCTAGTGGCCGAGCAGTTAGGTCGCATTTCTTACCAGATCCTAAAAATGACAGGTTGGTGGGTAAATTTTCAGTCTCAATTTAAAGTCAGATTTTAAGCAATATAGCAGGTATACAAATTTCTTCAAAGTCTGTTACTGATGTTTACATTTGGCTAGAACAAAAAATTTCCATCCTCGAACAGTTTAAAATCCACACAAAGTGACACTGTGTTACTTAATGCTGGCCATTAAACAACCAGGTAATGATGCCGCCTCTGAAGACCGACCACACGGGTTCTGGTTCATTATGATCAAAACACAGGCAACAACAACAGAGCAGGCCTGCGGCTGAGCTGGCCGCGCTCTGCTGATGTGCTTCCTCTCAGAGTACCACAACTGGACACCACCAACAGGACACAACTGAGGAAGACAGGACGTGCACACTAGAGGGTGCGACAAAGCAGACACTGAGAGGTCTTCCATCCTGGAGAGCGTCTCTCCACCTCAGCCCCCGGCCGTGGCCAGCATCAGGCCAGCACCTGCTCAAGGCCTCTGGCAGGGGAGTCGCCTCCCCTCCTGCCCGGCCCCCACTACACACGTGGAGAAGGCTGCGTCTCCACAGCTCCTTGTTCCTGAATGTAAAACCAGCATTTCGCATGCGCTACAATCGCATTCAGTCTCAAATGCACAATGAACGCTACCTGTTCTCCAGTGCTCGCTCCTCCGCAGGCAGGCAGAGCGATGAGCTCCCCGGAACGCACAGGCCTCACCCTGCTCACTCCGCTCATACAGCAGCCTGCAGCCTGCGTCACAGACCTCACAGCGGTGGGATCGGCAGTGTAGTGCAGCCACTCTAAGCCACACGTGTGCTTCAGCAGGCTGTCTGGTCTTGCTGGTACAGAAACCAGCACACTGCCGCCTTCCAATAAATACCTGTCGTCTTCTCGCTGATCCACTGATTTCTGTCTTACATAAAATGGGCCCTGATCCAATTCTGAAGACAGACTTCCGTGAGCTGTAAGGTTCGTTTCTACCACAGGGATGACCACAATTTTTCTAACTGGTCCTTCATGACACATCCTCAAGAGGGCACTCTTGTGGCTACTTAGACACTTCGGGGGCTGGTGTTGTGGTATAGTAGGTAAAAGCCGTAGCCAGTGCTGGCAGCATCCCACATGGGTGCTGGTTCGAGTCTCGGTTGCCCTACTTCTGATCCAGTTCCCTGCTAACATACTTGGGAAAGCAGTGGAGGATGGCCCAAGTGCTTGGGCCCCTGCACCCATGGGGGAGACCCGGAGGAAGCTCCGGCTCCTGGCTTCCGCCTGGCCCAGCCCCGGCGGCTGCAGTCATCTGGGGAGGCAACCAGTGGATCGAGGATGGATCTTTCTGCCTCTCCCCGTCTCTCCCTCTCTGTAACTCTTTAAAAATAAATAGATTTTTTTAAACAAACAAACAAAACACATATACACTCAAGTAGAGAAACAGCAAAATGTGTTGACATCTTACTTACCTAACGTCCATGCAAAATAATACTTGGGTCTGGCAGCCAGAAGCGAGACATACAGGTAGGCAACCTTGGCCGGCCACGCCGCCGCCGCCTGGAAATGCTCATCAATGTTGTACTGCACCGGCAAGGATGAGGAGACAGTCAGGTGGAACAGCAGGGAGAGCCCGCAGACCACAAGCTTCTGCACGACCGCGACCTGGCAGGGCAGAGGCACGGCTTGGCAACTTCATCCTTTCAATCCTTCCCTCACGCCCCACCAGGCGACGCCCCTGCACGCACATCAGCCCAGCTCTGCTGCTCAGGACCAAGCTGCACCGCGCTTGGCATTCAGAGTCCTCACGGCCTCATCCCATACACACTTCCAACCCCATCGGCGCCGCAGCCTCGCAGGCAGGCTCACCTCAGACCACAACCTCCAGTGGTTTCAGAACTTTTCAGAAAAATAAATAAATAAATGAAAGTTCTCTTTTTTTTTGGGGGGGGGGGGGGACAGGCAGAGTTAGACAGTGAGAGAGAGACAGAGAGAAAAATATGAAAGTTCTTGAACACAACTCGGTTCAAGAACGATAAAGCCGAAAGAGCTATCCTCGGAGAAGACTGAAGATCTGCACCAGAGGCTCTGGCGGGAAGGGGAGGCCTGGTTTGGCCACACCGAGCCGGGGCTGAAAGACCACCTTGCAGGGCTCGCTCTGCAGCTCGACTCGGCTGCTCTGGCGTTGCTGGAAGAGGTCACACAGGCCACGAAAGGAAAGAAACAATCAAAGGCTGGAACTAACGAAGGACGCAACGGAGTGCCTGCATCGGAGCGCCCCGTGTAGAAGCCAGGTGACACTCAAATCCGCTCACAGCTTGTACACCAGCAGTCACGTTTCAGCGTTCCATGTAACCGTGCCAAAAGGACGGCTCAAAGGTGAGTCAAGGTGCACGCTGGGCTGCTCACACGATCATGGTTCCTGGCTGCTGCTGCCGCCGCGCGGGGCTGAGTGCTCAGGCCTCCCTGGCTGCAGCGGCTCACCTCCCTTTCACCCGCCCCCAGACGTTTGGATAAACAGTCTCATGCATTAATCTAAAAAGAAGTAGATCACTGGACTACAGGCAAAGGATCTAGGTCTCAGTTTAAAAAAAGAAAATTGAAGTAGCACACATGTGATCTCAAATACCAGGAGGTACACATGCCAACAGAATCTCTAACCGGGATCAGCCAGGGCAGGTATCAGGTATCTTGGAAGGCGAGGGGGAAGAGGGAGGGGCCTAAAAGGGAGAGAAGGGGTAGTGCAAAGGCAGACACAACCAGGCACCCGTAACCTCTCTGCTGAGCAAGGCGGATGTGTGTGTACACATGCACATGAATACACACATACATGACAAAACACATACGGCTAAGCAGGCGTGTAAACGTAATACACGTGTGTGTAACTCCTTTTTCTCATATGCAAGTACACATTAACACACACAGAAATATCGAAGAATACCTCACTAGATACACATGGAGCTACCTGGCTGGATGATTGCAGCCCCCCCCCCCCCCCCAGGAGAACATCTGTCTCCCACTCTCGCAGAAGGCCAGAGACGACACTGAAGTGGAGAAGATCCAGGCTCGGGGACACGGGTCCGCAGCAGGGCTGGGGGTTAAAATGTGGACAATCGGGGAGGTCTGGATCCGAGCCCCTGCACAGCTGCAGAGAACCTGCAGCCGAGTTGCACAGCCCAGGGAGAAGACCGAAGGCTCCTTCACTCAAAAACCAAACGGCCCCAGAGAAAACACGACAGATGTGGGAGACAGGTATCGCCCAAGAGCTCACTCCTTCCGGCCTGGCAGAAAAATTCCTTCCTGGCACAGGGAAGTCTGGCTGAAGACGCCGTGCCCCAGCCTCCCTGGTAGGGAGTGCAGCTCTGTCATCACGTTCTGTGCAACATGCGGGGAAGCCGGAGCGGGCACCTGCGGCACCGTGGGGCAGCCACGGAAGTCAGGCACTGCTTCCACGAGCCCTGACGAGAGGGAAGACGCACCTGCCCTCTGCTGGAGCCCCGCTGTTGGGCCTGTCTCAGAGCCAGACCTCCATCTTCAGTAAGGTGGACAGCCAGCCACGAGGGCTGCGCAGAAGAGCAGCGGGCAGCCTCACTCTCTGCCCTCCACCCACTGCACTGGTGCACACAGGGCTTCCAGTGCCAGCCGAGGGCTTTATAAACGCCCGTCTCGTTCCCTTGTAAACTCTAGGCAGGTGGAATTTAAGTAGAACACCGTTAAAATGCTGGAATGAGACGCTAAGAGCTGTTGTTAACAATCATCAGTAACCTCTGATTTACAATGTCTATAGACCAAGAGTGACATTTAGTGAGTGAATCTCACAAAAATTCAGAGTGAGGTGACAGAATATATAGGCTGCAATTATTCCTTCTTGGCTTCGACTTACTATTACATTTCAAGAAGTTTGTATTTTTGAAATGCTTCACAAAACTGTTTGATCTGTATACCTCCCTGACACAGGGAAGGGGTTAAGAGTCTCCCTCCAGGGAGGGACCCGCAAAGATTAACCACCTGGAGTCTAGCATCTTTTATTCTTTGTTGTATTCAAGATCAAACTTCTATTTTTTTTATTTGACAGGTAGAGTTATAGACATTGAGCGAGACAGAGAGAAAGGTCTTCCTTCTGTTGGTTCACCCCCCGCCCCCAATGGCCACTACGGCCAGCGCTGCGCTGATCCGAAGCCAGGAGCCAGGTGCTTCCTCCTGGTCTCCCATGCGGGTGCAGGGCCCAAGCACTTGGGCCATCCTCCACTACCCTCCCGGCCACAGCAGAGAGCTAGACTGGAAGAGGAGCAACCAGGACTAGAACCCGGCCCCCATATGGGATACAGGCGCCACAGGTAGGGGATTAACAAAGTGAGCCACGGCGCCGGCCCAAAAACCAAACTTCTAAGGTGCTGGCTGTGCAGTGACCGCCCCGTCACCCACAGGAGACTTAATGCCTAATACAATGCAGGGGCTAGCTCATCAGCTATTTATACTATATTTTTTAGGTAATAAAAAGGAAAAAAAGCCTCCACTTTTTTAAGGTACAGTAGCAATCGCTTTTCCCCCGGATACTTTTGGCCACGGTGGGCTGGCTGTGGGGTGGAGCCCATGGCTGCAGAGGGCGGCCTGACATCACCCTGACGCCCTCCCTCCGCTCTGAGGCCTCTGCAGGTTAAGGGTCAGCCTGGGGCTGCAAAGGAGCCAAAGGAGGAGCTACCAACTCCCAGTGCCAGAGTGAGCCTGGGTTAACGGGCAGTTCTCCAGCAAGCCACGAGCAGCGGGAAGGACAGCACCGCGCGAGAAAGACCGGCCCCTGCGCTCCCCGCGCCCGCCTTCCTCTCAGACTTTCCGACCGGCGACAGTTCTGCCAGGTGCAGCCAGCAGGGAGGGAGGCCCCGTCCATGAAGCAGCATCCCCCAGCAGCCCAGTGGTTCCCAGGAGTCCCTGGGAGTCTGAGCTCTCCCACCCGACCCTGGGCTCTGAGGCCGTTTCCTCCTCTGTGAGATGGGGAGAACAGTGGCTGCTGCTCCCAGGACTGCAGGGACGGTGCAGAGCAGGGGGAGGGGAAGCGCCGACCACAGGTGCCATCAGAGTGGGCGTGGCTACGCTCCTTCACAGCGGTCAGACCCAGCTCTGTGGGAAGGGTGGAACTGGAAGCCGGCCTTTAAAGAGGAGTAAGATTTCAATGGGTGGCGGTTAGGAAGCGGAGAACTCAGTGTTTCAGTGTGGCGGAGGGCCAGACCAGATGTAGACGGGCCTGGAGACGCAGCCGCTCAGCCTGCACGAGCGCCCGGCTGCGAGGCTCCACAGCCACCAGGCGCTGCCCCAGGAAGGAGCCAGCGTCCGCGTTCCCGATTCTGCAGCCAGGGGCTGTGTGAAGACCCATTTCCCTGAAACGGGTTCTTCAGGACACAGACAGGTGAAAGTCTTACTCTCTTTAAACTACGACGCGCTACAAAGGCAGAGAAGCCTCGGATCTTACGTTCGGGGACGGCTCTGTCCTCTCACACTGCGCTTCTTCTTTGCCGTCTTCTCCAGACTGTGCCATCTGGTAGGATCTGCCTTCAATGAAGGTGATGTAGTCCTTGTAAGAGCAGAGCGGGCCTGCCAGGATCCCCATGAAGTTACAGTTGTAACTCAGATACTCCAGCAGGCTCGGCATGCGCCTGCAACAAGACGACACGCGGCTCGTGAGACCAACAGAAGCCTTCGGGAGCGGGACTGGAATACGCACCGCCCGCCTCGCTTCTCTGACCGCTTCCAACACAAAACAAGCTCGAGTTTTCATTTGTACGCACACAGTGAGAACTGAAAAGCCCGGGACACAGCAATGCTCAGCGTGCTTTTAGTAAGACAGTTTCTAGGAAGATGCTTACGAGCAAATCAGATCTCTACTAGGCTTCTCACCACGAAGCTGGCAGCCAAAGGTGGATGTGATCGGGCAGCAAGTTCAGTTTCTTGCTAGCCAACCCTGGCTCACACAAGAGCTCTGCCACAGCGTTTCAGCCACTAGCTGGACGCCCGCATCTGCATCGGAGTGCTTGGGCTGAGTCCTGGCTCCTCTGCTTCCGGTCCAGCGTCCTACTAACCACACCCTGGGAGGCAGCAGAAGACGGCCCAGGTACTCAGGCCCCTGCCACCGACAGGAAGGATCTGGATGCAGCTCCTGGCGCCTGGCTTTAGCCTGGCCCAGCCCAAGCTGTTGTGGGCATTTAGGGAGTGAACCCAGCTGATGGAAGATCTCTCTCAAGTAAAATTGAAGACACTCCCTCCCCCACAACTCTGCCTTTCAGATGAAATAAATAAAGCTGAAAGAACAAGTGTCTGGGTGACTTCTGCGTGTTTCCCTGCAGCAGCGTGGAGGCAGGACGCCCTCAGTGGGGAAGCCCAGCGTGAGCACCTGCGGCCGTGGTTACAGAGGGCGCCCCCGGCTCCAGACTGAACACAGCACCAGGCGCTCAGAGGCCGCTCAGCCTCCCGAGCAGTGAACTACAGGAGATAATTCTGAACCATGAATCTCCTGGAGTAAGTTCTGGCCAAGCCCACCATTTTAGGTACCAAAGTAGATAACTGTCACATTCACTACTGAAATGAGAACTTAAGTCTACCTATGAGATTCGATCTACGATAGTAAGTGACAGGTTCGTTCCTTCATTCTACCAATATTTATTTATGTATTTATTTATTTATGTATTTATTTATTGTTGTTGACAGAGTTAGATAGAGAGAGAGAGACACTACCAATATTTATTTGATATCGACGATGCTCTGTCTTCGGATAGAGCTCCTAATCTCAAAATCTCTGACAACTGGGGTCAACACTCCTTTGTTGTAGGGGGACTGTCCTCTGCGGTGCAGGGCATTTGGGGGCATCCCCAGCCTCCACCCCCAGACGAGGGTGGCACCACCCCCCAACACCATCCAACGAATGCTTCCTCAGGACAGGCCAGCCCACAGCGGGCAGCCACCACTTAGGTGACAGGGAAAGTGACGATAAACCAGACCGAGATCCTGTGTACAGAGACCTCAGCTGTGGGGAGCAGCAAGAGGGACAAGTGAGACCACTGCATTACAGACTGTCCAGCGATAACACCAACTACGAGGGAAAACACGGAGGGGCAGGGCCAGAAGTGACGGCAGGGAGGGGTTTTGATGGCGGGGGCTGGGCGGTCCTGAACAGCTGAGAGTGTAGTGGCCCAGGCGCTTGCTGGGCTCATGAGCTGCAGGCAAAAGCTCGCAATTTTATTTTAAATTACATAGGGAGCCAAGGGAGGCTGAGAGGCAGAGTTACAGACAGAGAGAGAGGTCTTCCATCTGCTGGTCCACTCCCCCAAATGGCCGCAACGGTCAGAACTGGGCCAATCCGAAGCCAGGAGCCAGGAGTTTCCTCTGGGTCTCCCACGTGGGCGCAGGGGCACAAGCACTTGGGCCATCTTCTACTGCCTTCCTGGGCCACAGCAGAGAGCTTACAGAAGAGGGGCAGCAGGGACTCGAACCAGCCCTGATATGGGATGCCTGCACAGCTGGAAGAGGCTTAACCTCACAACACAGCACTGGCCCTGCTGTTTTTTTCTTTTTTAAAATATTTATTTATTTGAAACGCAGAGTTGAGAGACTTGAAAGAGAGAGAATAGAGAGCGATCAGTCTTCCACTTGCTGGTTCACTCCCAGCAAGTCGCAATAGCCAGGACTAGGCCACACCTAAGCCAGGAGCCAGAACTCCAACCAGGTTTCCCACACAGGTAGCAGGGGCGCAGCACTTGGGCCATCTTCCACTGCTTTCCCAGGCGCACTAGCAGGGAGCTGGACTGGAAGCAGAGCAGCCGGGACTCTGAAACCAGCAATTACACAGGATGTCAGCACCGCAGGTGGCAGCTTAACCCTGAGCTTCAACCCCACCCCCAAGGGAGGGGAATACTAAAACCTGAGCACACACCTTGGCTGCCAGGGGAGCAGAGGGCAGGGAGACCTGTCAGAAAAGCGACAGACCCAGGACAGAAGGAGGGTGTGGGCCGGGTCCTGTGAGGGAGATTGGTGAGCAGCAGGCAGAGCAGAGGCAAGTCTTCAGGAAGGGCTGACTGGACTTGGTGGTGGGGTGAGTCTGCAGTAAGAAGACGGGAGGCCGCCTGCTTGCCCAGTGAGCCCTGGTGACAGATGTGCTGCCACCAACCAGGTGGGGGACACACGACGGAGGGGGATGGAAACCAGGAGCCTCTTCTGAGGTGGCAGACGGACACGGGCGGCTAGGGCTCCCGAGAGGGCTGCAGCGGGGCATGCGTTCAGGAGACTTCAAAGCTGCGGATGGTATTAAAGCCAGGGCACCTCACGCGATCGCCTGGAGGAAGCCCCGAGCCCCAGGCCGAGCGCGCGGATGACGAGAGCGGTGAGGCAGAGGCAGAGGGCTCAACAGAGGCGACAAAGAGCCAAGGCCAGGGCGGGGAGGGGGAAATCAAAGGAACGCTGTGTCCCAGAAGGCTGGTGACGAAGGCATTCCAGGGCCGAGAGACCAATGGGCGGGCCATGCTGCCGAGAGGCTGAGCACTGCGCCCACGAAGCTGGCAGTGCCCGTGCCACGCTCAAGGCCAACTTCCAGAGAATGGTCTTCAGATACAGTGGGGACAGGAAGCCTGAGTCCAGGGGCCGCGGAGGGCTTGGGAGGGCAGGAACACAGACAGCGGTCTCAGAGGGCTGACTACAGAGTGGGGCAGGGCCACGGTGCAGCCAGGAGGGAGCTCCCGGGAAAGCTGGAGAGAGGGTGGACCGTGAAACAGGTGGATCAGTGCAGAAGAGGAAGGGGCCCTGAGCTGGAGGGCCAACAGTCAGTTGTGGCTCTAGGGAAGAAAGTTTTGTCGCAATTCCAGGCAGTTTGGTGGATTTCATGGTTGCAGAATAAGGTAGAGCTGCTTTTATTTTCCAGAACTAAAGTTCTGTTGCCACCGTGGGCGAGGGAACTGGAGTCGGGGAGAGGGGCAGGCGAGGAAGGTGCCAGGGTCCAGACCTGAACCACGGTAAGCAAGGCTGGGTGCTGCCCGCTGCCGAGACAGGTGTACAGAGGGACCTGACGGGCCAGGTGCTGCCCACTGCCGAGAGAGGTGCACATAGAGACCTGACGGGCCGGGTGCTGCCCGCTGCTGAGACAGGTGCACAGAGGGACCTGACAGGCCAGGTGTTGCCCACTGCCGAGACAGGTGTACAGAGACCTGACGGGCCGGGTGCTGCCCATTGCCAAGACAGGTACACAGAGGGACTTGACGGGCCGGGTGCTGCCCACTGCTGAGAGAGGTGTACAGAGGGACCTGACGGGCCGGGTGCTGCCCGCTGCCGAGGCAGGTATACAGAGACCTGACGGGCCGGGTGCTGCCCACTGCTGAGACAGGTGTACAGAGGGACCTCACAGGCTGGGTGCTGCCCACTGCCGAGACAGGTGTACAGAGAGACCTGACGGGCCGGGTGCTGCCCACTGCTGAGACAGGTGTACAGAGGGACCTGACGGGCAGGGTGCTGCCCGCTGCTGAGACGGGTGCACAGAGAGACCTGATGGGCCAGGTGCTGCCCACTGCCGAGACAGGTGCACAGAGAGACCTGACGGGCCGGGTGCTGCCCACTGCTGAGACGGGTGCACAGAGAGACCTCACAGGTTTGGGATTTGCTGCAAAGGGGAAAAGGGCAAACAGGGCTGAGTGTCCAGAGATGAGGGGTCCCCGCAGCCCGAGGCCATGGGTCACCCAGGTCACAGCAACCTCTCGTCAGTTACGCATGTTCAAGTGCAGGTTTATCAATACACAAATACTGACCACAGAGAATATTGGAATAGAGTGACTTTACAGATGGGAAAAACAGCAGATTCCCAAGACCTGCTGCCCGGGCAAGGGGAACAGCTGGTGTGGGTCCATCTACAATCGGCAGCTATTAGTTCTACATTTAGAAACAATGCACTCCGTAGGAACTCTGTCTTAATAAAACGTGTTCTTGGTCTTTAGCTATGTCAGACTGAAACAGAACCATCTCTTAGATTAGCCCTCAGAGCGCACGGTATCGACACAGCAGCAGCATATCCCGGATGGACGTCTCGGACTCTAACTGGTTCTTTGCTGTTTCACACCACGGCAGACACGGGCTCTGCAAATGTACTGATGCCATCAAGGTGCTGGGCTACAATAACTGCTACAGGGCAGACACACTATCTTCCTGCCTTTGAAACTTGGAGCCTCACAGACACACAAACTTAGCAGATAGGGGCCGGCACTGTGGGGCAGTAGGTTAAGCCCCTACTTGCTGTGCTGTCACCCTGTCTTAGCTCTGGTTCAAGTTCTAGCTGCTCTGCTTCCACTCCAGCTGCCTGCTAATGTGCCTGGGAAGGCAGCAGAAGATGGTCCAAGAACTTGGGCTCCTGTCTCCTGCATGGGAGAACCCAGATGGAGTTCTGGGCCTCTGGCTTTGATCCAGCCCAGTCCCAGCTGTTGCAGCCATCTGGAGAGTGCAACAGTGGATAAATAAAAGAAAACAAACCTTTAACCAGTCTTAGCAGACGCCCTCTGCTAAGCGAGCCCGAGAAGGGCTGCCCCGCCCGGCCCAGTGGGACCTGGTGTAGGAGCTGTACAGGAGGAGGGCAGCTTGATTTTCACAAGGAGGCACCTCTGAAAGGACCAGGAAGTCTTAGCCACGCAAGTGCTGCTGTCGCTGGCAGACACGGCGTGAGCCACGGCGGCACATGCTGCCGGCACACGTACCTTACAGCTAAACCCCTCTGTGACGGCGTCAGCTCTTCATCCTTCCGGAACATCCCTGAGAAACAAAAACAGGCACTTTTATCAACAAAGACTTCTCCCAAGAACGGCATTTTCCCAGGCACACTTCGGCTACTTTCCACTTCATAGTTCAGCAGAATGTTTCTTTCTCATGGTAGCACAGACGTCATCCCTGAAGCACCACCGCACGCCCACTAGAAACCCCATGGGGGCAGCAGCATGGGCACAACGGCGCGCGTCCCAGCTGCTCCACTTCAATCCAACTCCCGCTAACGGGGTACGAAGATGGTCTAAGTACTTGGGTCCCTGCTTCCCAACGTGGGAGACCCACATGGTGCTCCTGACTCCGGCTTCAGCCTGGCCCAGCCCCAGACACTGGACCAGCGTATGGAAGATCTCTTACTCTGTGTGTGTGTCTCCCCGTCCTCTGCCTCTCAAACAACATTTTTAAAAAGACACAGGGGAAGGAAAGTCACCAATGTGACTGCGTGCTAGAGGAAATGACGTCCCTCACCCTAGCACTCTCTGAATGACGCATCTGTCACCTGCGCCCCTTCAGAGGGGCATCACAGCCTTTCTGTTCCTGGACGAGTTAAAGGACGGAACATCAGTACTTTGGGCTAGAAACCGACTTCATTTCTCCTTCGTGACTCCAGTGACTGAAAACGGACTCAAAGCACCACGTTCACCCATGGATTTACCGTCTCCCTGCAAGCGGGATGATACCAGCTATGGTTCACCTCTACTTCCTGCACCCACTTTTGAATATTTACCCTAAATAGATTTAAAGACCAAAGGGGGACTAAATCAATAAGCAAACAACACACCGAGAAGACATTTGCAGCAAATGTGATAAAGAATTAACATCCCCCAAGGAGTCAAAACAGAAGCAACTAAAAACACTGAAGTAAATAAATCCCACAGAAACAAAACCCATGAAAAAACAAGCCAAAGAAATACAAGAAACAAGCACCTAATTACGTATGAGACACGTATGAAGAGAAAGATGGCACTTGCCCCTAGTGTAAGTACACAGGAGTTTTAAAGGGCTCTCACTCATACAGCATATCACCACTATGTAAAGCACACACGTTTTCTGTATTACATGTGAAACAGAGATAGAAAAGAAAGAAGCATCACTTTAAAATGCCCCAAGACTGTTCTGGGTACGGAGGAGGCAGCACAGGAAAACAAGCACCTTTCTTTCACAGAACTTAAGCTCAGCAGAGATGGAATCCAAAAAAACAATACACCAATTATGAAGAGGAGCCCCCACCATCCTACAGATAAACCAGTGCCCCTACCAGTGAATCAAGCCTCCACCATCCTGCAGATAAACCAGTGCCCCGACCAGTGAACAGAGCCTCCACCATCCTGCAGATAAACCAGTGCCCCAACCAGTGAACAGAGCCCTCAACATCTTACAGATAAACCACTGGCAACCAGTGAACAGAGCCTCCACCATCCTGCAGATAAACCAGGTCAAGAACCAGCAAACAGAGCCCCCACCTTCCTACAGATGAACCAGGGCACCAAGCCCAAGGGGAGCCCCCAACATCTTTCTGCCAAGCAACACAGCAATTCTGTTAGGATCTTTCCTGCCTGTAGCACAGGGGCTCTAATCCAAGTAAATAACCAAAGATTATTCAAGATTTATGGCAAAAATCACAGCCTTATAAATAATAGCAAAAAATAACAAACTATACCCCCAATTAGGGACTGGGCAATAAATAACTACATACTCCTTTTGATAATTATGGAAAAATAAAAACATGCTATAAGACGATGAAGCAGTAGCTCAAATATTAATAAAAAGCAGGTTGGGTTCTGGTGGGCTGCGGGGGGGTGAGCGCGGAGGACGCCTCCATTTTTGTGCTAACTGTATTTTTCAGATTTCAATAGCATATGCTTCCTTTTTGTCTCCAAGAAAAAAAGCACTGAAGGAGAAGACTGGTCAGTGGTAACCGTCGTCAGGAGCTGAGTCCAGGAGGGGGTACCCGCCCCTCCCAGGTCTGACTTGCTCCCCACTAAGCAGACACTCCAGTATGTCCACCCTTTCCTAAGCAGGAGCGCTGTCTTTGGAGACCAGGGTCAGTGTCTGTGTCTTCAAACCTCCATCCTTTCTGTCCTCTCCCTTCTACGCGGAGGCGGCACGAAGCAGCTGCGTTGGTGGTTTCAGGCTCCGCCATCCACCAGGTTTTCACGGTATCTTACGCGGCACTTACAGGGTCTGGTGTAGGGTGGGGCTACGGGCTGGGCAGCGCGGCTAAAATCCTGCTAGAACTGCACTCCACCCAAGGGGCGGAGACAGGACAAATCTGTGTCGCACGTGTGCACCTACAAGCCCAGCCTTTCCTCCCAGTTCAAAACTGGGCTACTTTCAACAAAACAATCGAACATCAATGAAAAACAAGACTGCATTTTTCAAAGCTAGAAGTAGGCCACGCACAAGTGCACAGCCCAGGGTACCATGGGAACAAGGACACTTTTCATACTCCCCAAGCACCAAGCCAGGCCGAAGGCTCCCACTGCGACGCAACACCCAGGAAGCTGCCAGCGAGGAAGCACGCTCTGTTCCCACAAGCTGAGCTACCAGGCCACCCTCAGAGCCACACACACTACCACCGCTTCTGGCACCCACGGACGCCCTGGCAACCCCCTGTGCACCACTCACAACCAGAAGTGCAGGGAGGTGCTGTCACGTGAGGTGATGGGCTGTCTCCAACCCGAGCCAGGGATTTCCCAAGATGAATGAGTGCCTGCTTCTGGAACTGTGCTACTGGGCCCGCAGCTGAGCTGGCAGGGGCCAGTTACAGATGCACAAGTCTGCCTGCTTCTTCCAGCAGGGGTCCAGAACCTAACGGCCGTGCAGAGCAGAGGCCACCGAGGCCTGAGCCTGTGTCGCCCAGAACAGTCTGCCTGGAAGGCTGGCCCATGGCGGTGTCCGGAACTTGGCCATAAGCAGTCCCCTAAATGGACGAAGACGTCCCCTGTACCCAGTTCGTGTGGGCCAACCCCTGCTTTCCTCCTGGAAGCCTGGCCTCTTGGCAGGTGCTGGGCAGTGTCCCCACGTGAGCAGCCCCAGTGAGAGCCTCAGGTGCTGTCTCTTGAGCTTGCCTGGTGGACAACCTCCCTGGTGCTGCTGGGAACCAAGCGTACTTTCTGGGACTCCACAGGGCAAGCATTCCTGGTGGCCTCCTCGCCAGGCACCTCTGTCCTTGTCTGATCCTGTCGGGAATCTTCTCACAGCAATGAATTTAGCCATGAGTACAACCAACCACATGCTGAACCCCGGGAATCACCAAACTGGGCACGGTCTTGGGGTCCCCAACACCATGAGGGCCCCCTTTGTAAGACCTGCTAGGAGACCTGGGCTAGGTGGGGTTTGCTCCGTCCTCAGGCACAGAGCGGCAGGTGCTGTGGGGCGAGGCAGGTGCACAGCAGACAGTCCTGCAGGTTGGACTGAACTGAGCTGCAGGAGGAGACGCTCTGAAAACCTAGGGGGTGTGAATTCTCTAAACACTGCTGAGCCTGGCTAGCACCTCACGACTGATTCTCTGAGCTGAAGACACACTGTCATCGAATGCTTCGAGACCTACAGGTGCAGTGGCACCCCTGCCCCAGGACCTGCCTGCACTGTGCTTCCAGAGGCCCCAAGTAACGTGTCCTGGCCACGGCGCAGAAGCGTCAGCCGAGGATAAACGCACACTTCTGACAGCCTTCCACAGTGCGGGTTTCGCGACAGTGCTAGGGCCTGCAGAGTCCCACTCACTCCACGCATCAGGCTGTGAGGACCATGAGACCCTGTGTACAAATTATGATCCACCAGAAACCTCCCCAGTGTATCGTACTTTCTGTTTCCAAGTGAGAAACCTGGAGTGGGAAGGAGCAGGCGGGGCCGAGTCCACGTGTGCCCCCATCCTCCACCCCCGGCCTCCTCTACACAGAAGCAGAGCTGCACACAGCGCCTGCTATGCCAGGCAGAGACTTTGAGACAAGTGAACCTGCCTTTCCCTCTCCCTCTCCCCAGCTCTAAGGGGCTCATTTTGCCCATTTCCTTTCTATGTTAAAACGCCACTAACGTGGGTAACGTGACACAATCACACTGTCGCACTCTGACCTCACTGCAGTGGGGACAAGCACACCCTCACCCGAGCCCAGCTAAGCACCGCCCACCTCCCTCCTCCCTTCCCGACAGCGCGGACTCAGTGCCTCACAAGCACAAGCCTGCTGGACTCGCATGCTTCTCAGTGGCGGTGGAAGGTCCATTTCCAAACTCTTACCATCGTGGATTTCGTAGGCCAGGCTGGTGATCTTCTGGGTGATGATCATCATGGGGCTGTGAGGAGACAAACCAGAGAGGGCGCTGGGGTGACAAGTTCAGGACGCATGGGGGAGCGTGCTCTGCTAACCAACCACACGGCCTAACATCTTTCTCCATTAACTTTGTTTGAAAGGCAGAGGGAGAGGGAGACAGAGAGAGAGAGAGAGAGTGAGCTTCCACCTGCTGGTTCACTCCCTTCCAGAAGCCCACACCAGGCAGGGCTGGGTCAGGCTGAAGCCAGAACTCCAGCCTCCATCCAGGTCTCCCACACGGACGGCGGGGAACCAGGTACTTGAGTCACCCTGCGCTGTCTCCTGCATGAGCAGGAAGCTGGAGCGGAGGACGGAGCCAGGACTGGAACCCAAGGCACCCGATATGCACGTATTTCCAAGCTGCAACCCAAGCACCGCACCAGACACACGCCCCAAATCCTAAGATGTCTGGCAAAGAGTAGCTCAATGCTGCGGATACTGCGCCCTTGCCTTGCTTTGAAAAAACAAAAACAGCCAAAGAAAAAGCACTCTAACCCCTAACTACATCTCCTGTGCAGCAGCGAGCCAGCCCCACCCCTTCTTCTCACGCATCCTCTAACAAGGCCCAGAGGCTGGAAGCACAGGGCGGGCTCTCTGGGGCCAGACAGGGACCACAGGGCTCACTGCCTTTGGCCTCAGGGCCGAAAGTGAAGGGGAAAAGCAAGTTGCCTGGGAAACAGGACCCAGCAGAAAAGTAAGGCATTTGCATGACAAATGTGAGAGGCGGAGAACAGACAGTGAGGGAAACAGGGGAGGAAGAAAAGCAACCAACGCATCTGAGAGCTCCAGGGTTCAGGACCCTCAGGCAGCCACCTGCAGCACAGTCACGCCTACTTTAAGGAGGAAGAAAATGTCACCATTTCCCTGTATTTTAGAATTACTGAACTGAATAGGAAACTCGGACAGGAAAGACCACCGGGTCATTTTTTATCCGTTAGTGGTTTACTCCTAAGTCACTCATTCACCAAACCAGCAAGTCAAGCACGAGCATCAGGTCAGACAGCTCAGGGCATCACACATCCCAGGGGCCCTCAGAACTGGGGTGGGGAGGGGGGTAGGCACCAGAAGGTCGGGCTGTGCAGCTGCCAGGGAGGCAACTCAAACCAGGGACTCCCAAAGTCACTTCTCACACTGCCCTCGCTGCCAGGAAACGCCTCCTCAGGCAACCAAGCCCGGGCACTCGCTGGCTGGCGCGGCAAGCCGAGCGCTGTAAAATGCCCAGGAATGCCCGTTTCTCAGGGAGCCCAGGCCCTGCCCTCACCCTGCCTACCCCTTCACAGGTTAGCCCAGCACTAACGAAGCCCCCCTCAGTTCTGAAGTCTAACTCTCAGGTCACTGTAAAACACAATTCTTAAAGCCACAGCGGATGAAACAGCTGTGAACTGAACTTAGTGCCACATTAAGTGGTTCAGGGCCACACAGAATCACGGACGTGTGCCCCTTCAGAGTGCAGCCCGCGCCCTCGCACCCTGGCAACTCTCCCGGTGGGACGGGTGCAGGACCTGGGACAGTGAGCAGGCTGCAGGAGGGTGGCGGCAGCTGTCCACCGCCCGCGCCCGCTCCCTGAGGGAATGGAAGCCAGGTGGCAACAGGCCGAGCACGCCCGGCGTCAGAGAGGTCCCCGTGCAGACCAAGCTCCCTGCCAGTGCTGGCTCCCTCTTCAGTGCCGTGCACCAGAGGCACCGGACAACTCCATCTCTGGCTTCCACATCCTCCTCTTCACCCGCTTCCTGTTTGCTTCCTCATTTGCAGGGGTCTCAACAACTGAGGGAGGCCGGCAGCCTAACAGTCTCGCCAGCACTGCCGCCCCGTGCCTAGTGACGCGCACGAGATAGGAGCTCAGTAAGATACTAAACACAGGGAACCTCTGAGCCTGCCGCCAGGACCAGCTACTCTGCTCGCAAGGTCTTCCTCCCTCTGTCCTCTGTCCACCCTGGCCCACGCGTGCGAGCAGCTGCCGCCCTCCACTACCATCAGATCCTCTGGTCACAAGAAACCTCAGCTGCTCTGAGCACGGGCATGCCGTACCCACGTCTGAGCCTTCGGAACCTGCCTCCCGGGCAGCTTTCTAGGGCCGGCTGATTGACAACGGTCTTCGCTTTCTGGTTCTTTTACTGCCGATCTTCAGCCCCCATGCATGCCTTTCAGTTCCTTTTAAAAAAATATTTATTTATCTATTTATTTGAAAGGCAGAGTTACAGACAGAGAGGGAGACCAGAGATCTTCCATCTGCTGGTTTACTCTCCAAATGGTCACAACAGTCAGTACTGGGCCAGGTCAAAGCCAGGAGCTAGAAGCTCTTCCCAGGTCTCCCTCATGGGTGCAGGGGTCCAAGCACTTGGGCCACTCTCCACCGCTTTCCTAGGCACATTAGCAAGGAGCTGGATTGGAAGTGGAGCAGCTGGGATTCGAACTGACGCCCACATGGGATGTTGGCATCACAGGTGGCTTTACAAGGGATGCCACAGTGCTGGCCCTTGCCCTCTGGTTTTGAATGGGGGGCAGTTCTTGTGCCTCTGGTCCCCGCTGTCGCCAGGGAGCGGTGAACACAGAACAGGACAGAAGACAAAGATGTCACACAGAGACCCTGAGGGAACACGTCAAACTCTCAGTGACAGATGAGTGGATCCCTGAGCTCTCACAGCAGCCAGGGAGGGGACGGAGCAGAAGCTGCGGACAGGGAACGGGAGGCTGGGGCCGGAGGCCTCTGCAGGGAGTAGTGAGGTCTGGCTGGGAGCTGGCTGACGCAGGAGCTTCAAGGGGATTGCAGCAAAGAGCTTGACACAGCTCTCAGGTAGCTATGGGCTGGCAAGGAGCCAAGGACCTTGAAGGACTCCAGGCTGTGTGCACTGCCTAATCCTATTGCTTCCACGCTGAAGACTCAGCACAACTCCCCTCCCCCCCGCACCGCTGCCCTTCATGCCGGAAGCCTTTTTTTTTTTTTTTAAAGATTTTATTTATTTGAGAGGCAAGAGTTACAGACAGAGAGAGGGAGAGATAGAGAGAAAGGTCTTCCATCCGGAGGACCACTCCCCAAATGGCTGCAACAGCTGGGACAGGGCCCTTACAGCTACAGTGAGCATCTGCCACGTGTGTGTATACAGCAAAAACCACAGTGCACGCGGGGCTCAGCCTGTCCCTGGTTTCAGGCGTGTGCTGGGGGTCCTGGGGCATGCAAAGGAGGCTAAGAAACAGTATGTGGGCTGGCGCCGCGGCTCAGTAGGCTAATCCTCCGCCTAGCGGCGCCGGCACACCAGGTTCTAGTCCCGGTCGGGGCGCCGGGCTCCGTCCCGGTTGTCCCTCTTCCAGGCCAGGGAGTGCAGTGGAGGATGGCCCAAGTGCTTGGGCCCTGCACCCCATGGGAGACCAGGATAAGTACCTGGCTCCTGCCATCAGATCAGCGCGGTGCGCTGGCCGCAGTGCACCGGCCGCGGCGGCCATTGGAGGGTGAACCAACAGCAAAGGAAGACCTTTCTCTCTGTCTCTCTCTCTCACTGTCCACTCTGCCTGTCCAATAAATAAATAAATAAATAAATAAATAAATAAATAAAAATAAAAATAAAAAAAGAAAGAGTACGTGCCCAGTGAGGTATTGAGAGGCACTTGGACAGAGACAAGGACAGCTTCAAACTGACAGAGCTGGGGGAAACCCTCAAAGGCCTGGGACCTAGACACACAGCTGGGAGGAGTTCCCAGCACTGAGGACGGCAGCTGGGCAGGGGGCTCCCCAGGCTGCCACCAACTGTGCAGCCTGTGAGGGATCAGCCTCCCACCACCCTGCTTTCTGGACACACATAACCTCAGGGGAGGGGCCAGCAGGGCGGGGAACGGACAAGTCACGAACAGATCCAACAGATCCGGCTCTGTTTACTCATGGTAACCTGAACCACACCGGCACTGGCCAGAGAGAATGTTTCCTGTAACCACATGTAGGTCAGGGGCTGGGAGACACTCCCACGGGGCGGCCAGCGATAAAGGGAAGGAGCAGGCTTGCAGGCAGCTGTGTAACTGGCATCGGCCAGTTCCTAGCACACTCTGGGCACAATGGAAGTGCAGGATTGTAGAGAGCAGCAAGGGGCGCTCCTGACTCAAAGCACAGAACACAAAAGGTTTCCAAATTTAGACTCTGCGCTTCAGTGAGCCTTCCCAGGGAGGAGAGAGGGAAACCACCACCACACCTGCGGCTTTGGGACCAAGTGGTCCATGCCTTCTCAGGCCTGAACAACGGCCACCCACGGCCCCTGAGCACCCAGCAGGGTGCACAGCCCGTGCTCAACCACCTCAGCTAAGGACCAGGTGAGTTATGGCAGTGACAGATCCACTGAGCACTGACACTGTCTAGTTAGCCCCACACTGTCTAGTTAGCCCCACAACACTAATTTGAATACAAGACTATATCACATGTATCTTTCTTTGGTGACCCACTAAGCGATCCCTTCAGCATATTTCAGTCTGCACGGATTACCGGGGTATTCTGCCAGAAAATCCGTCCTCACGCCCAACTACCACCTCCTCATCTACACCCAAGGCCAGGGCCCACCTTCTTTTTCCTTTCCAAACGGCCCAGGGCATTTTTTATTTTAAGATTTATTTATTTGAAAGGTAGAGTTACAGCAGAGGTGGGAGGGGAATAGGTCTTCTATCCACTGGTTCACTTCCCAAATGGCTGTCATGGCCGGAGCTGGGCTGATCCGAAGCCAGGAACCAGGAGCTTCTTCCAGGTCTCCCATGTGGGTGCAGGGGCCCAAGGACTTGGGCCACCTCCTACTGCTTTCCCAGGCCACAGCAGAGAGCTGGATTAGAAGGGGAGCCGCCAGGACTAGAACTGGCATCCATAAGGAACGCCGGCATCACAGGTGGTGGCTTTACCTGCTACGCCACAGTGCCGGCCCCAACCCAGGACATTTATTGAGGAATGAGCCAGGCTTTCTGCAGCCGTCTGTCACCTGGACACCCAAGGTGCTCTCCAGGCGCGTTCCTATCTCAGTCTCACAACACTTCGTGACTCCTGCCTTATAGCAGCAGTGCCCGTCCGCATCATGTTCACAGCCCTCAAGCATCAGTCTCTGGCAGGTTTTCCAATGAGGTTATCAATGTCCTCCAAGACCCCACCTCCAATGAGGTTATCAATGTCCTCCAAGACCCCACCTCCAATGAGGTTATCAATGTCCTCCAAGACCCCACCCTGTCGACGTCACGCTGAAGGTTGACTCGCTGGAAATCGGCATCTTCACAGCGCTGGGCTTGCTCCCCCCTCACCCTGGCTGCTCCGCGTCCCACTCCCCCCTCACCCTGGCTGCTTCGCGTCCCACTCCCCCCTCACCCTGGCTGCTCCGCGTCCCACTCCCCCCTCACCCTGGCTGCTCCGCGTCCCACTCCCCCCTCACCCTGGCTGCTCCGCGTCCCACTCCCCACTCACCCTGGCTGCTCCGCGTCCCACTCCCCCCTCACCCTGGCTGCTCCGCGTCCCAGAGCCCGGCCTGCCTTTCTTTCATGCGCGTCCCTAGCATCTCATAGTTTCGTAGTTTCGATTGCTCTCGAAACCAGCATTCCTTTTCTAACGCATTCTCCAACGGAGACTGCTGGAACACAGGAACCTCCACCTCTTGCATGGATTTGCTGAGGCTATTCTGGGTGCTAACAACTCCAGCAGCTGTTCAACCTTTCCACAGACAGAAACTTCTACGGAGAGGATAGCCCCTTTCATCCAGTCAGCTTGTGTCTGTTTTTAGTCCATTTTCTATGAACTTTTCCTACATTTTTAAAAATTTATAGAAGGTGAACAAATTTCATGTATTTCATATGTAAGATTCAGGGGCACAGTGACACTTCCCACCCTCCCCTCCTTCCTGCCCACATACCCACCTCCCTCCTCCTCCCTTTCTTAGTTTTTAATTTTTAGTGACATACTTTCCGTTTACTTCATGATCATAAGCTTAACCCTACACTAAGAATTCAACAAATAGAAGAAAAAGACACTGTTTCTCAACAGGAGAGACAAGGGCTGTAAAGATAATCAAACTTCAAAATGTCAATGTTGTTCATATACCACAACCAGGGAAAACATGACAGTTATCTGGAACCAGACAATCTACGAATGCTTTCAATGTCATGGGCAAGCAAACGTATCCCACACCAAAGAGGCTGCGTGTCGACTCGCTGGCAAGAGCACATCATGCTCCCAGCTGTGGCCAGCACTGGGGCAGCTCAGCACAGGTGAGTCCCTTCACACCAGACGTTGTGCACTGATGCCAGCATCAAGTAGGGGCTGCGCTCCAGGGCCGCTGCCCAAAAACTGAGGAAGACAGCTCTCCCCTCCGCTGTGCCCACTGCACGAAGAGCGAGCCTTCACCCTCGTCCTGCCACACCAGTCCCTCAAGCTCACGCAACTCTGCGTCTACTCGTTACCAGGTCCCTGATGAAGGCCTCCTTTTTTTTTAAGGTTTATTTATTTACTTGAAAGTCAGAGTTACACAGAGAGAGGAGAGGGAGAGAGAGGGAGAGAGAGGGAGAGAGAGGGAGAGAGAGGGAGAGAGAGGGAGAGAGAGGGAGAGAGAGGGAGAGAGAGGGAGAGAGAGGGAGAGAGAGGGAGAGGTCTTCCATCTCCTGGTTCACTCCCCAACCAGCTACAATGGCCAGAGCTGTTCCAAGGAGAAGCCAGGAGCTTCTTCTGGGTCTTCCACACAGGTGCAGGAGCCCAAGCACTTGGGCCAGCTTCCAATGCTTTCCCAGGCCACAGCAGAGAGCTGGATCGGAAGTGGAGCAGCCAAGACTCGAACCTGCGCCCACATGGGATGCCGGCACTGCAGGCGGTGGCTTTACCCGCTACCCCACAGCGCTGGCCCCAGGCCTTCTCCTACACAGCACCTCTGCCTGCACTGCCCACTGCCTGCCGCCAGCGCTCCTCACTGTTTTCACCTTCTGTGCTGCAGTGTCATCACTGACTCCGCGGTGCTCAGTGCCGCTGTGTGCTAGGTGAGCACTAAGGGTGCAGGACAAACAAGACCGCTATGGCTGCTGCTTGAGGAGGGTCAGCTTCGCCAACACAACTCCCCCAGGTCTGCATAACCAGTTCCCAACTTCCCTACAACTACGACGACGACACGAGACCTGGGCTACCCCTCACCTTCATGCAGACATTCGCGGGGGCGGACACATGCGGGGTCTGCTCACTCCACAGTCAAGAACGCCATCCGCAAGTGGGCCGGCTGGCATCAGGTCTTCCACATCCCAGGTGCACTGCTCAACCCTGAACTCACTGCTAACATGATCGACTGGTCTGTATTTTTCAAGTGGACTGAATTTGTTTTGTTTGGCCTGGTCGCTTGTTCTGAATGGAATCTTCCTTCATCCAACTCTACTGTTGTAATCTGTGTGATAAAATCCACTTTCATCTCATTAGGGAGAAAAAGATTTCATCTTCTACATCTCATTTCTTGGGAGTGTGTCTTCGGAGCTTATGCAACTCTGTTCTGTTCCTACCGTGGAATACCTGTTCCTGAGATATCATGATTGACGGATTCACCTTTTCCCACTTTACTTCTCCTTAAGTTGGATTTACTGCTCACTTGTGCCGCCCCGCTGACTCAGAACTGACACAAAAGCAGCTCTTCCGCACCCTGTTTAGTGGCGGTGTGCCGGGTCCGCCACAAGGAGGCAAACAGTAGCTTCTTCCCCTTCCCTGCCTGGTCCCCAGGTGCTGCCAGATGTCCCTGATGAGGATGGGAGCGGCCTGGTCCACAAAGGCTTACCCTGCACTTTTTGTTTTAATAGACATTTAATTAGTTTTGTTACAAGACAATGAGAACCCCCCAGGGCCAGGGAGGCAATAAACCACCTTTAAAGGAACAAACGCCAGAAGCTATTTTCACTGATGCTGAAGTTAAGGAAGTGCACAGATCCACAGAAGTAAGTAAAACCCAGGTGGGAGACTCTTCCCCAGGAAATCCAGAGAAAGCAGCCTGAGGGCCTCTGGACCCCGGCACGGCCCCTGGGTGCTAGGCAGCAGCACAGCGGGCAGATCCTGCACGTGGAAGCTGGCGAATGACTGACAAAGGAACAGAGAACAAGAGAGGAAGGATGCAAGCTCCGCGGGCCAGCCCCTCCCCAGGTGTCAGTGCCAGGATGCCCGGGGAAAGGCTCATGCTGTGTATCTGACATTTCATGTAAGACAACGTTCAAGCACAGCGTATTCTTGTGACACAGAGTATTACTGAAGACTACGCACAAGAAGAAAAGTTCTAGATTCATACAGGACTTTGCAGCTAAAGTGTTCAGTAACAGCTTTTCACTGGAGCTACTAAATGCAGCTGTAGCTTGTCCTTCAACCACCACATTAGGAAAGATAAAAACGGCTACTGAAGCAAGGTTTGAATCTTACCCTGAAAAATCAGCCGAATATTGTCCATAATCAAAGATATAGACTCTAGTAATTTGGCACACTGTGAGGTATCCCAAAGCAAACACAAAACAATATCTGTAAAACAAAAATAAACTAGATTAGTGAAAATAAAAGCTTCATTTGCTAGAGTACATTTCAAGGTAATTTATTAACAAACTGGTATGGTTCAGAAATCAAGCGCTACTCTGTCCACTCCCCAGCGGCCGTTAGGGACCAGATGTGAAAACTCTGCCGGGACCTGCCTCGCTCTCCTGGATGCCACGTTCGGGGGGAAACGCGCTGAGTCACCAACGTCGCCGCCCTCCTTCTGAAGGACACCCTCGCACCCATTCACAAGGGGCCACGACCACACAGCCGGGACGGCCGTGTCGTTCTTCACTTACTGCTCTTTTCCAGAGAACAAACTTAGCTCAAAAATATTTGGCCAAGATAGAAATTAAAGCACATTCTTGAAAGAACTTTAAGAGCTTGTCCTCAACATCTAAACCACACATCTTTGGCGGGGTTGGGGGGCACTCACACGCTATGGGAAGGAAGACTTGGTGAGTTTCACGTAACTGAGAAGCGTGGGACACAGTTACAACAATTAAACACGCAGCACAGGGGAAATGCTTCACACAGGAACAGGCGAGTCTAGATCCCAGCGACTGCGTAGGGCAAAGGCTGCAGTGCAGGTTATGGCATGGATGCAGTTAACAATTCCAGTGGCAGAGAGGACTACGCCTTCCCCTCACCCTAAAACAATTCCAGAGGGATGAATAAAATACAAAACCAAAACAAACAGAAGTTGTGGCTGAATATTCATTATCTTCTCCAATTAGGGAAGAAATTTAAGGAAAAAGCCAAGGGGAGCCCCTTGGATGTGTGGCGGAAGAGGCTGACACCATAATGAAGAGAGGCCCATGCGTGGAACCCCTCCTGAGCTCCCGACCCACAAGATCATGAGCAAAATAGCATTAATATTTCTTTTAGACCACTAGATTTTGATGTACAGAACTGTTACTCAAAATGAGGTGTTCCTGTAATAACCACCTAAACAGAGCCCTGGGAGCAGGTGGATGCAGAAGCAGAAGGGGTCTTTATAAAAAATAGATAAATATCAGGCACCGTGGCACAGTGGGTTAATCCTCTGCCTGCAGTGCCGGCATCCCATGTGGGCGCCAGTTCATGTCCTGGCTGCTGCTCTTCCAATCCGGCTCTCTGGCCTGGGAAGGCAGCAGAAGATGGCCCAAGTCCCTGGGCCCCTGCACCCACATGGGAGTCCAGGAGGAAGCTCCTGGCTCCTGGCTTCGGACTGGCGCAGCTCCAGCCGTTGCAGCCAACTGGGGAGTGAACCAATGGACAGAAGACCTTTCTCTCTGTCTCTCCCTCTCACTGTCTATAACTCTACCTCTCAAATAAATAAATTTGAAAATAAATAAATCACTTTTTTTTTTTGGACAGGCAGAGTTAGACAGTGAGAGTGAGTGAGAGAGTGAGTGAGAGAGAGAGAGAGAGAGAGAGAGAAAGGTCTTCCTTTTTCCGTTGGTTCACCCCCCCAAATGGCCACTATGGCCGGCGCACTGCGCTGATCTGAAGCCAGGAGCCAGGTGCTTCTCTTGGTCTCCCGTGGAGTGCAGGGCCCAAGCACTTGGGCCATCCTCCACTGCACTCCCGGGCCACAGCACAGAGCTGGACTGGAAGAGGAGCAATTGGGACAGAATCCGGCACCCCAACTGGGACTAGAACGCGGTGTGCTGGCGCCGCAGGCGGAGGATTAGCCTAGGGAGCCACAGCGCCGGCCTAAATCACTTTTTTATTTGAAAGTCAGAGTTACAAAGAGAATGATCTCCCATCTGCTGGCTCACTGCCCAGAGATCAACAACAACCAGGGCTGAGCCAGGCCATAGCCAGGAGTCAGGAGCTTGATCTGGGTCTCCCGCATGAATGCAGGGGCCAAGCACTGAGGCCACCTTTCACTGCTTCTCCCAGGCCTTGAGCAGGGAGTTGGATTGGAAGTGAGCTGGGACTCAAACCGGAGCCCATGTGAGACGCCAGCAATGCAGGCGGTGGCTTAACCCGCTATGCCACAGCAGCAGCCCCAGAAGTCTCTGGAAATGAGACAGAGGCAGAAGCAGCAGCTGAGCCTCTTGGGGACACTCGCATTACCTCAAGGCCTGCAGAACACGGGCTTGGCTCCTGTTGCTCTGCAAGTAAACAGATCTCATGCCTGCAGCAGGCTCTCTCTGTGCAGTGGGCCAGGGCTGACCCAGATCGACCTACTGCTCATTCGACATTCACCGGCACACGTCAGCACGCTCAACAACACACCTGCCGGGCGCCCTGACGAAACGCCAGGCCACATAAGGAGTGAGAAAGGGTGGCGCTGGATTCCAGGACATCACGTGTATTCCCTGTGCTTCATTTAACAACCCAAATGCTGCCAGACACAGCACAGAGCCCAGGCCAGTCCCCTGAGGGAGCACACCTGCTTCCTCAATAAACGCCTGTTCTCCGACTCTGTAATTCAGGACTCTGGGTAGCAGGCGGTGGCCACTACCCAGGGCCAGCAGGACAGCAGCGTGAGAGGAAAGGCAGCCTGGGCCGAGTGGCAGCAGCACTGCCACGGTAACGGGGATAAATACAGCTGGTTTCTTAAAAGACAGACAGGTACAAGGCTGGGTGGAGAGGGATGAGCTAAAGTAAAAAGTGTTCCCACTTTGAGACAGAAAAAGCAAGCACACGTCCTGGAGGTAACCGAGGTCCAGACAAGTCAGGGCAGCCCCGACGGCCTCCGGGAGACTGCAGGGCCATCCCTGACGGGGCCTCACAGGCAGAACACAGCTTCCTGCATCCCCGAGTTCTGTCTCGTGCACTTTCTCTGGAAACAAGAAAGCCGCCCCAGCACACGCTGAATTTCAGGCCAAGGAGGAAAGAGACACCTGAAGAGATCTGCGGGGGTGGTTTCTGTCTGGTGTAGGGAATTATAATTAGACACACGGGCGGCCCACACAGCTCTTAAACGGAGTTACAGCAGCTGGGCACGAAGGGAGACTCAGCTGGAGATGAAGAGCTACCCCATTTCCCAGTTTTCCACCGGCAGGAGGCACACTGTTCAACAACAACGTTACCTCTCGTGGAAGACGGCGGCAGCTCGGAGAGCGCAGGCGCGACAGCCACAGAGGACACCCAAGGCACGGGGCTGGGCTGATGCAAGGGGCTGCCAGGAGCCTTGCGCTCCAGCCCTCTTAGGACAGAAGCATCTGCTCACTCTCCTGTTCCGTTCACCAAGGTATGCTGCAGGTGCGAGGGGCAGGTCCTGCCTCTCCAGTTCCTCAGACCGGGAAGGACCGTCCACTCCAGACGTCACTCGGATGGAAAGATGGGCTCGAGCTCGCTGTCCTAATGGGATGAGGCTGTGGGGATCTCGGGGAGGAGTGAGTTCACTCTTGTGTAGGACGTGAGCGAGCTGAAGGGCCCACAGCCCCCGGCCATCACGAACCACCACTGCTGCACACGGTGCGGTTTACACCGGGAGCTGGGATCCAACCTCCTCCCTTCAAGTCTGTGCTGGACCTAAGCCTCAGTTCCCCGACAGGAAATGGCTCCCTGAAACTTGGAGACCAGACCATAAGACGTCTTGCAGCTTCCTCCTGGTTCTCTTGGAAGGCTTTCCTCCTCAGAGCCTTACCACCGTGCGTGGGAACCCCACGGCCACAGTGAAACTGCAGTCAACAGCACTGGCTGACCTCACCACCAGCAGCCAACCCCACTGCCAGCTGCGTGAGGAGGCCAGCCTCTCAAACGACTGCTGCCACGCCAGCACTCAACAGCATTCACGTAAGATCCCAAGCAAAGCGGGTCAGCCGAGCCCTCTACACACAGAGCCACGGAAAACAACAAACTGTTGTCTCGTCACTGAGTTTGAGGCGCTCCGCCACCTTGCAACAGCTGGGACAGTCCCTTAGCAAAGAGGAGCACGCTAATGTTAGCTCAAAAGAATAAGACACCTCCATCAAGCAGGCTCTGTTCGACACATGTGAGATTCTATTTAGAAGACTAGTAACATGTGCCATCACAGTGATGAACCAGAGGAAAAAAACAACTGTAATGGGCCCACAGAAGGACATTTAATAACGCTCAGTAATGTTTCAACCTAACAAATAAAACTCTCAGTAAAAAGGATGCTTCCTTAAAACGAACAAAGCTTGTTGAAAGCTTCAGGATCTTCTCAGCACTGAAGCGGCGATGCTGGGGCAGGGGACAGCTGTGGCATCACATGTGTAGTGTTCACAGGCAGCTGTGGCATCACACATGTAGTGTTCACAGGCACTCACGTGAGGCTCCAAGTGAGTCTGACGGTCATTTCTATCCTGAACATAGTTTTCGTTTTTTTTGTTTGTTTGTTTTTTTACAGGCAGAGTGGACAGTGAGAGAGAGAGACAGAGAGAAAGGTCTTCCTTTGCCATTGGTTTACCCTCCAGTGGCTGCCGCGCTGCGGCCGGTGCACCGCGCTGATCTGAAGCCAGGAGCCAGGTGCCTCTCCTGGTCTCCCATGGGGTGCAGGGCCTAAGTACTTGGGCCATCCTCCACTGCACTCCCGGGCCACAGCAGAGAGCTGGCCTGGAAGAGGGGCAACCGGGACTAGAACCCGGTGTGCCGGCGCTGCAAGGCGGAGGATTAGCCTAGTGAGCCGCAGCGCCAGCCCTGAACATAGTTTCTAAACCTAGCATCACAATCCCAACCAAAATCCCAAGGGCAGCTGGCTGGCCGCTGGTCAAGGTCTTAGGAAACTAAATAAACGCATGACCAGGAAGACCTGCCTTGCTTTTATCTCCAGCGGATGACAGAGTAATGCAGCTTGTTTCAGAAATAGATCAAAAGGCTAACCGAACAGAAGAAAGTTAAAAAAAAGTTCACTGTGCAATGGGAAATGTTGTTAAAAAGCTGGCACTCACAATCGGGGGAAAGCAGACGAGGGAAGTGAGGCTCAGGAAACACTAGCTCCCATCCCGGTCTCCCATCCACACTGCATACACGTACAGAAACCCAATGAAACTATGCACACGTCAGAGGTAAAAAAGTATTTTTACCGG